CCTGAGTGTCCGAGCCCTTCCTGCCTGGGGAATCCCAGCCCAGCCCTGCTGGCTTCATGGCTCCCGTGGTAACCTGGCTGTCCGCCCAGCTCTCACAGCGCTACGGACCCGTGTTCACTGTCCACCTGGGGCTCCAGAAGACAGTGGTGCTGACCGGTTATGAAGCGGTGAGGGAGGCGCTGCTCAGCACCGGGCAGCAGCTGGCCGGCCGGCCCCCCATTCCCATCTTCCACCTCATCCAGCGAGGAGGGGGTAGGTGTGTGAGAGGAAGAGCATGCTGCAAGAGTAGAGGGTCGGGGGGGGGGGTGTGTGGTGTCCATGGGGACTGGGGGCTTGGAGGGGAGGCGCGGGGTCCACGCGGGCCAGGGCAGGGAGGGGAGGCGCGGCGTCCACGCGGGCCAGGGCAGGGAGGGGAGGCGCGGCGTCCACGCGGGCCAGGGCAGGGAGGGGAGGCGCGGCGTCCACGCGGGCCAGGGCAGGGAGGGGAGGCGCGGCGTCCACGCGGGCCAGGGCAGGGAGGGGAGGCGCGGCGTCCACGCGGGCCAGGGCAGGGAGGGGAGGCGCGGCGTCCACGCGGGCCAGGGCAGGGAGGGGAGGCGCGGCGTCCACGCGGGCCAGGGCAGGGAGGGGAGGCGCGGCGTCCACGCGGGCCAAGGCAGGGAGGGGAGGCGCGGCGTCCATGGGGACTGGGCAGGGAGGGGAGGCGCGGCGTCCACGCGGGCCAGGGCAGGGAGGGGAGGCGCGGCGTCCATGGGGACTGGGCAGGGAGGGGAGGCGCGGCGTCCACGCGGGCCAGGGCAGGGAGGGGAGGCGCGGCGTCCATGGGGACTGGGCAGGGAGGGGAGGTGCGGCGTCCATGGGGACTGGGCAGGGAGGGGAGGCGCGGCGTCCATGGGGACTGGGCTGTCCCTCACCCGATGGCATCCCCTAGGCATCTTCTTTGCATCTGGACCACGCTGGAAGGCTGCCCGCCAGTTCACGGTGCGCACCCTGCACGGCCTGGGCGTGGGCCGGGGACCGGTGGCCGGCAAGGTGCTGCAGGAGCTGAGGTGCCTGCAGCATGAGCTGGACAGCTACGGAGGTGAGCGCGGGGGGTCTGGCTGCCCCTGCCCGCGGCCCCTGGCCAGCCTGACTCTGTCGCTCCCTCAGGCCAGCCCTTCCCCCTGGCCCTGCTTGGCTGGGCCCCTTCCAACGTCACCTTCGCGCTGCTCTTCGGTCAGCGGTTCCACTACCAGGACCCTGTGTTCCTGGCCTTGCTGGGCCTCATTGATGAGGTCATGGTCCTGCTGGGTTCCCCCAGCGTACAGGTGAGGCTTCCTGGGCGTGCGGGCAGGGGTCCTCAGCTCCCAGGCCCTCAAGTGCATGTGTGCATGGGCACTCTGCCCTGCCTGTGTGAGGTGTCTGTGAGGTGCGTGACCTTCCTCATGGACAAGAGGGCCTTGGGGCGCTGTGCACACCTCCTCCCTGCCCAGGCTTGCTCCGGGTGCCAGCCCCACAGACTCCCGCTGCCTGGGCAGGTGAGCAGCCTGCAGCTGTTGCAGTGTCTTCCTGGCTCTGGTGGGGGCTGGGGATTGAGCTCAGACCGCCTGCAGTCCCCTGGACCCCGGGAGGCGCCCAGCACACCTGCTGGCCTCACCCCACCTCGCCCCTGCCCAGCTGTTCAACCTCTACCCCTGGCTGGGCGCGCTGCTACAGCTGCACCGGCCGCTCCTGAGCAAGATCGAGCAGGTCCGTGACATCCTGAGGACCCTGCTGGAGGCTCGGCGGGCCTCTGGGCCTGGGCCAGGCCCTGCCCACAGTTACGCGGACGCGCTGATGCAGCAGGCACAGGTGTGCGAGATGGCGGGGGTGAGGAGGAGCCCCCAGCTTGGAGCCCTTCCACGGGGGAACCCAGGACACAGGTACGCCCACTCCAGCCAAGCCATCCTGCCCATCTCTGCAGAGGGATGACTCCCAGGGTCTGTTTGCTGAGGACAACGCTGTGGCATGCACACTGGACATGATCATGGCTGGCACGGAGACCACCTCAGCCACGCTGCAGTGGGCCATCCTGCTGATGGCCCAGCACCAGGGCGTGCAGGGTGAGGCTCGGTGCACCAGGTGGCCATCCCCTCCCCTCCCACTGAGAGTTCCTCTCAGCATACTGACCACTGCCCTGTAGGCCGGGTGCAAGAGGAGCTGGACCGCGTGTTGGGGCCAGGGCAGCAGCTCCGCCCAGAGCACCAGGCGGCACTGCCCTACACCAATGCGGTACTCCATGAGGTACAGCGCTACATCACGCTTCTGCCACACGTGCCCCGCTGCACGGCCGCCGACACCCGGCTGGGTGGCTACCTGCTGCCCAAGGTGGGGCCCCTGGCCTGCCCTCCCCCCGGGCTGCCCTGGCATAGCAGGAAGTGGCCTAGTCCCTGCAGGAGCAGGTCCTCTGTCCATGCCCCTGCCCATGCCCCACTGCCCACACCTCCTGCCCACTGCCCACGCCCACCTGTCCCCAGGATACACCTGCCCATGCCCCCGTCTCCATGACACGCCTGCCCATGCCCACCTGCCCATGCCCTTCTGTCCATGTCCCCTGCCCATGCCCCTCTGACAATGCCCCCTGCCCACACCCTTTTGTCCCTAGGGCACACCTGTGATCCCCCTGCTCACCTCGGTGCTACTGGACAGGACCCAGTGGAAGAGCCCGGGCCAGTTCAACCCTGACCACTTCCTGGATAAGCACGGACGCTTTGTGCAACCCGCTGCCTTCCTGCCCTTCTCCGCAGGTACCAGGCCCGGAGGTCGGGCATCATCCGGGTGCCTCCAGCCTCCAGGGCCAGCCTAGCACACCCTCTGCCCACAGGCCGCCGTGTGTGCGTTGGGGAGCGCCTGGCCAGGACCGAGCTGTTTCTGCTGTTTGCTGGCCTCCTGCAGAGGTACCGCCTGCTGCCCCCTCCTGGCACCAGCCCTGCCGCCCTGGACACAGAGCCTGCCCGGGCCTTCACAATGCGTCCGCGGGCCCAGGCCCTGTGTGCAGTGCCCAGGCCCTAGGGACAGTCCTTACCTGTCCCCATGGTCAGGCGTGTCCACCTACCCGAGGGCAGCTATACCCCCTGCCCCTGGATTCCTGCACCCAGGATGCACACACCCCAATCCCCATTGTTCCCAAGCTGCTGGGCTTGCCTCCCCCGCCCTCTGGCTGCCCCCAGATGCCCACCAGCCCTTGCGGCCCCCACACCCATGCCCTTCCCTAGGACTGCAGCTGCAACCCAATTCTACCCCAGGCCAGCGACTGCCAGGGGCTCCCTGGGGGTGTGGCCAGGCCTGCACACCCTTGTACTTCTCCCCATTCCGAGGCTCCTGGGAGGCTGTGAACGTGGGGCAGACCCCAGCTCTCCCGGGCCTCAGTGTACCCACCAGGAAGACAGCCTTGGCAGGAGGTGCCCAGCTAGGACACCTTAGGCTGAGGGGTGGAGAGAGCTCTGCTCCAGTGCTGAGCCCTCAGAGCTGGGGCCTGGAGGGGACCTGTCTCAGGGGAAGCCACAGAGGTGGGGAGCTGCTGCACGAGGCCTAGAACAGCGGCCCACAGTCCCAGGCGGCCCCGAGGACAGCAAGGCTGTCCCCTCTGCCCCACGACACAGAGCCCACCAGGGCTGAGCCCCCGCCTCCACTGCCCTGGACCTTGAGGGCTTCGGCGACCTCCTGCTTGGCACATAGCCATCTTGTGCGATGCCCTCCTACTGGGCCAGCCACTGCAGAACTGGGGGCTGGGTAGGGGGCAGGGCCGCCTCCCTCAGGCCCCTTCACCCGTCTTCCACATCGCTCCTCTCCCCATGGACTCTCCACGGCCACTCTGAGGGTCCAGCCGTGGACGGCAGGGACTGGATCGCAGGCGTAAAGCACCGCAGCCCTGGATCGGGTCCAGCATAGGACTCCACCGAGGACACTGCTTCTGGAGGAGACACGACCCCTGCTCCCCCCAGACCCTGTGCGGCTACATCCTGGCTTCCGGAATCCGGAACACAAAACCCCAGTCCCACCATCTGCTTGACTGTCTTGGCTGGTCAGTCCCCAGAGGGGGCTCTGCGCCTGGACTGGCATGGAGGCCCCCGACCTGCTCAGGGTCACTTTGCCACCCACACATCGGGTGGGGTCCTCCCAAGGACCTGTCGGTCCACCTCTGCCGACTTTCTGACAGGGCACAGCCCAGAACCCGTGGGGGTGTGTGGGGCTGCCTGGGGAACAGGAATTTACAAACTGATTGTTGAGTAATTGCTGTGAGCCAAGTGCCAGGTCCCACTCCTGCTTCCAGCCGCTCAGAGGGTTCAGTGTTCAGTGCCCTGTCTACCTGAGTGCCCTGGACTCATGACACAGACTGTCGCCAGCTGCTTCCTGCCCCGGCCCTGGCCCCACTGCATAGGCCCAAGGGCTCTGTCAGCTCTGGGCCAGCACCTGTGTGCGGCAGTAAGGCTGTGGGGCGGGCATCCGTGTCCTGTGGCCTGGTGTCTGTGTGGGGCAGTGAGGCTGTGGGGCGGGTATCTGTGTCCTGTGGCCTGGCGCCTGTGTGGGGCTGTGGGGCGGGCATCCGTGTCCTGTGGTAAACACGCCACATAACATTCGTCCCAAGTGTTCTCCGGCTGGGACTGTTACTGCAGCTGCTGCAAGCAGCTGGTGGGGCTGAGGCCAGGGGTGGGGTCAGGGTCAGGGTCAGGGTCAGAACATGCTCCTGCAGCCCTGTGTGAGACAGCACAGCTGTGGGCAGTGAGACGCACCTCCCCAAGTCGCAGGCACGGCAGCCAAGGCTGGTTTATTAGAAACACGAGTAGGGGTACCAGGGGGTCACCACACCCTGGAGCAGAGTCCATGTGCAGCCCTCAGGGAGGCATGGCCCGCTCGGCCCCGGCCGTGCCCTGCTGGCAGCTGTAGCACCTGTGCTGCCCGTCACACAGGCCAGGGCGCAGGTGTCCGCCGTCCGCCTGCTAGGACAGCAGCTGCAGCACCTGTGCTGCCCGTCACACGGGCCAGGGCGCAGGTGTCTGCCATCCGCCTGCTAGGACAGCAGCTGCAGCACCTGCCGCAGGCGCTGCACCTTGCCCGGGGAGTCGTGAGTCTCATCCGCTGCGTCCAGCTCTTGCATCAGGGCTTCGGCCTTGAGCACGGTCAGCTCACGGGCTCTGCCCCGCAGCCCCTCCAGGTAGGCCAGCAGTGTGGGGAAGTGCTGGTCAGGGACCTGTGCAGGAAGTCCAACGCGCTCTGGTCAGGAGTGGGCACCTCGCGGCGCCCAGCAGAGCCCCTGCCTGCTGTCCCACAGAGGTGCCCGGCTCAGGCATGCCCATGCTGGCGTTCAGCGGAGCTGCGGGGCCAAACTCGGTGGGGAGGAGCACCTGGGTAGCTACAGGCTGAGGGTGAGGGTGTGGGGCGAGTTGTGGGGTACAGCAACTTTCCCGGAAGCCCCGTGCCAGTTGCCCTCAGATGGCACAGCAGGACCTGTGGTGCCCTGGGAAAAGGCACACACAGGCCCACAGAGGAAATGCCATGTATGCAGTCTGGGCAGGGACAGCGGCAGGTCTAGTCGCCTCACAGCTGTGGGCTGAGCTCCCAAACCTGTCTGAGCCTGGGGAGCCAGCACAGATTCTGCCCTGAACATGCACTCCCAGTGCAGGACCCTGGCTGCACCTCCTCACAGAGCAGGGCCCCCTACCTCCTCACAGAGCAGGGACCCCCACCTCCTCACAGAGCAGGGACCTCCCCCGGCACCCCCCAACACAGACCTTGTCCTGGTCAAACATGTGCTGCAGGAGCCACGTCTGCCGCGTCTTCTGGAACCGCCAGCCCGCCTGCTTCTGGGCCCACCTGGGGACACAGGGCCTGACTGCACAGGGCCGAGGGAGCCGGGCTCCCCTGAATGCCAGTGACTGGGCTGTGCCCGGGGACCGCACGGGATGCCAAGGGTCCGCACCCCAGAATCACACAGGGTCCCCCATGCAGGCTGTGGGCGTCCCGACCCGATGCCCACCAGAACCTCCGTCCCTAGAGTGCCGTGTGGACTGCACCCACACCGCAGGCTGCCCCCATGGGAGTGATCCACAGTGACCCACACGGGCGCTGCCCTGTCTCCGTGCGGCTTTCCAAGCATGCCTGCCCGATGCTGCTGCTGCCCGTGCGGGGGAAGGAGGGCGAGGGGAGCGGCTCTCACCCACACAGGTAGTCCAGGGCCAGCTCTGCGCCCGAGCGCTGCGCCGGGGCCGCCTGCCCTGCCTCCCGCAGCCGCTTCCTCTCCTCCTTCTTGCGTTCCTTCTTGAGCTTCCGCTCCAGGACCCTCTTCTCCTCTGGGGTCAGGGTGGGGTCGGCATCCTGAGGGAGGAGCACCTGCCAGTCAGGCCCCCAGGCGCAGATGGCAGGCCAGGTCCTCAGCCGTGGAGGGCTGCAGGCAGGAGCACCGGGCTGTAGCAAGGTGCCGGCCTGGGCCAGGTCGCGCTGGAGCCTCTGGGAGGCCACCCCCTCCGTGTGCAGTGACCCCCTGCGTCCCTGACAGGTGGGACCCAGAGAGGCAGCCTGGGGAGGCAAGCCCTTCAGCACCCTCACAGCCCCCCTGTGCTGGGTGGGGGGAGGCTGGTCCCCACCATGAGCTCGTCCCTTCCTCCTGCCAGCCAGCCCAAGGCCCTCATCAGAGAGGCCAGACCCCCGCCCCAGCACTCAAGACAGGAGTGTCAGACCCCCGTCCCACCGCTGTACTGGCCAGGCCACCCTCAGGGCTGTGCCTGAGTCTTGCGACCCGCGGAAGCTGCAGTTCCAAGGGGTCATGGGGTGGGAGGGCACAAGGAGGTGTGCTTCTCTCGTAGTGTGCACGGCAGGGACAAGTGGTCAGGCCGACCTGGGGCTGGGGAGAGGATTCATTCCTCACGTGAAAGACAGGATGGCTGGGGACGGATGAGAAGAGTGACCTGCTGGTTCATAGCAGCCAGAGCGCTTGGGCCAGGGGCTCGGGCCGTCACCCACTGCAGGCAGTGGCACCAGGCAGCCAGAGCGCTTGGTCAGGGCGAAGCCGGGCGCCCGGGGCTCGGGCCGTCACCCAGTGCAGGCAGTGGCACCAGGCTGTACTCTGACATGAGGCTGATGACCACAACATCTCTACCTGGCTCAGCCCAATGAAGGCCCCGAACTGCTAACCGCTTTTCATTTTAAAAAAGGTTGTCTTTATTGATTTAAAAGCAAATTACAGAGAGAAGGAACGACAGAGACCTGCCACTCACTACCTCACTGCCCAGATGTCCAACACGGCCAGGGTGTGCAGGCTGAAGCCAGGAGCTGCCCAGCATCTGGACCACCTGCTGGTCTCCAGGCAGCAGTGGGCAGTCGGGACTGCCCACATGGGACCCGGCACCTCTGCCATCGCAGGCCAGTTTCACTCACGGTCCCGCCCTGATCACCGCACAAATGGGGTGACGTCCCCCACTTAGCCATGGCATTCAACGGGAGAGCCACTGTTGACATCACTGTGGCGGACGCCGGCTCTGTCATCGAGGCGCTCACAGGCAGGCTGACGTGAGCTCCTGGAGGACAGGGAGGGCGGCCGTCGCGGCTGCTGTGGTATCCGTGCTGCTGGCCACTGGCTGCTGCACCTGCCCACGGCTGCGGACACGCCTGCCCACGGCCGCGGATACGCCTGCAGGCTGTCTCCTCACCCCAGGCCCATCACACCGTGGACATAGAGCACGGCACAAGTTGAACATGTGAAGAGCCGGCATGTGTGCGGGACCCAGCGACCACAGCCAAGTGAGGTGTCTCAACAGGGGAGGGGGCCCTTCCCCTACAGCTCACTCCCTGAGTCACGGGAGCCTAGGGGGTAGGAAAAAGCCCCCATCCCTCCCAGTCGTTCCACACCCATGCTCTTCAGGCTCAACGTACTAGGGCCCAGGAGACCACAAAAGGAACTATGGGACCATCTACCAGGCCCACACAAGGGACACTGGTCTGACAGGACCACCCGGGGACACTGGTCTGACAGGACCACACGGGGACACTGTGATATGACGGGACCACACGGGGACACTGTGATCTGACGGGACCACCCGGGGGACACTGTGATCTGAGGGGACCACCCGGGGACACTGTGATCTGACGGGACCACCCGGGGGGCACTGTGATCTGAGGGGACCACACGGGGACACTGTGATCTGACGGGACCACACAGGGACACTGTGATCTGACGGGACCACACGGGGACACTGTGATCTGGGGGGACCACATGGGGGACACTGTGATCTGAGGGGACCACACGGGGACACTGTGATCTGACGGGACCACACGGGACACTGTGATCTGAGGGGACCACACGGGGACACTGTGATCTGAGGGGACCACACGGGGACACTGTGATCTGAGGGGACCACACGGGGACACTGTGATCGGACAGGACCACACGGAGACACTGTGATCTGAGGGGACCACACGGGGACACTGTGATCTGAGGGGACCACACGGGGACACTGTGATCTGACGGGACCACACGGGGACACTGTGATCTGAGGGGACCACACGGGGACACTGTGATCTGACGGGACCACATGGGGACACTGTGATATGACGGGACCACACGGGGACACTGTGATATGACGGGACCACACGGGGACACTGTGATCTGAGGGGACCACACGGGGGACACTGTGATCTGACAGGACCACACGGGGACACTGTGATCTGACAGGACCACACGGGGACACTGTGATCTGAGGGGACCACACGGAGACACTGTGATCTGACAGGACCACACGGGGACACTGTGATCTGACAGGACCACACGGGGACACTGTGATCTGACAGGACCACACGGGGGACACTGTGATCTGACAGGACCACACAGGGACACTGTGATCTGACAGGACCACACGGGGACACTGTGATCTGAGGGCATCCTACAGGGGACACTGTGATCTGAGGGGACCACACAGGGACATGTGATCTGAGGGGACCCCACGGGGACATGTGATCTGGGGGGACCACACGGGGACACTGTGATCTGAGGGGACCACACGGGGACACTGTGATCTGACGGGACCACACGGGGACATCACTTCTGGCCCACTCCTGATCCCTGCCCAGTGAAGGTCACTGGCTAGGGCTCTGGGTCCCCCCACGCGGATTTGTGTCAGACTTCATGGCCTTCTTGGTGCTGGGGACAACAGACCCCCAAACCAGAAGTTTAGACCCCCGAGATGGACTCCAGGCCTCGCCCTGTCACAGCAGCCCCGCCTTGCCACATGGCAGTGACCAGTACCAGCAAGGGCCCCGGACACCAGCACCAGGTTGCCCAGGGGCCACGGCCAGGCTTGCCCTCTGGCTTTCTTTCAGCCTGTCTGGGGGTGAGGGCCAGGCCCGACCGCCTCTAGGCCGGATGCAGCGGGGACACACCGCGCTCTGACCTCAGCCTTCCACGTGGACTGCCTCACAGCTGCTGCCAGGCAGCAGGGGCAGTGGGCACGCCGACGAGAACACCCAACGGGAGGGACCAAGGGCCGGCCACCATCCCGTCCAGCCCCAAGGCCGTGAGACAAGGCTGCGGGTGCAGGGAGGTGAGGACAGACTGCGCGGCTCCCCCGCGTGAACCACAGCCGTGGGCAGGTCCGGCCCTGTCACTGTCGCTCGTGCGCATGGTGGCACAGGTGGGTGAGGATTGGCAGGATCTGCAGACCCCAGGGCCACCAGGACAGTGGGCACAGGTGTGTGGCTCCCTGTCCACCACTGGGCACCTGCCACTGGCCGCTCCAGTCTTGGCAGGCTTCTGCCCCATGCCACACGTGGCTCACTGGCAGGACACAGACCCCAATCCCTGCAGACAGCTCTCCGTGTCCCCCACGCCTGGCCCTGGCCCGCCTGCAGCATGCAGACGTGTAATGGGGTAGCTGACACGGCCACCACCTAGCCATCTAACAGGCTTCCCTCCACAGCCGGCACGGCCCTGCCCTGGGAGGAGACCCGGCTCGGGCCAGGCCATGCAGGTCAGCCGCGGGTCGGCCCAGCGTCAGTCTGAGCTGACACGGGGCTCCCGGAGGGCAAGGAGAGTGCGTGAACCGGTCACCGTGAGCAGCGGCGGGGCTTTGCTGGCCCCTCCTGTCCCCGCACCCGGTCAGGTGCGCGCTGCGCGAAACAGCGGATCCCCTCCTGCCCCCCAAAAGGCAACGGCGGACCCCCACCCGGCGGCTCCCGCCCACTGTCCCTCGCGGGCTTCCACAGGCGGACTTGGGGCATCTCAGCCAGGGCGCACTGCCCACCAACGAGTTCCTCCGGCGGTGGGCCTCCCAGGGCCAAGCGCCACCAGGAAGGGCACTCGGTGGCTGTCAGAGGACTCGGGGCTTGGCCGGAGAGGGCCGCCGCTCCCCTCCCGGGGCACTGACCTCCGCGTCCAGGCCGTGGGGCGCGCGGGCGCTGCCGGAGACCGGCCCAGCAACGCGAGCGCCGCCGCACCTGCCGCCCGCTCCGCTGCCCTCCGCAGCGCCCGCGCACTGCGCATGTGCGCTCGGCGGCTCGGGATCCAGATCCAGCCGGCTGGGCGGTGACGCAAGCGCCGGGCGGGGTCCCCGCGGCTCGAGAGCGCGCAGGCGCCCCAGGATTCAGGGGTGCGGGGAGGAGGGGGACGCGGACCTGGGTCTGGGGCGGGAGCGCAGGGCTGGGGACTTGGGCCCGGGGCGGGAGCGCAGGGCTGGGGGACCTGGGCCCGGGGCGGGAGCGCAGGGCTGGGGACTTGGGCCTGGGGCGGGAGCGCAGGGCTGGGGACTTGGGTCTGGGGTGGGAGCGCAGGGCTGGGCTGGGGGTCTTGGGCCCGGGGTGGGAGCGCAGGGCTGGGGAACCTGGGCCCGGGGCGGGAGCGCAGGGCTGGGGACTTGGGCCCGGGGCGGGAGCGCAGGGCTGGGGACCTGGGCCCGGGGCGGGAGCGCAGGGCTGGGGGACTTGGGCCCGGGGCGGGAGCGCAGGGCTGGGGAACCTGGGCCCGGGGCGGGAGCGCAGGGCTGGGGAACCTGGGCCCGGGGCGGGAGCGCAGGGCTGGGGAACCTGGGCCCGGGGCGGGAGCGCAGAGCTGGGGGACTTGGGCCCGGGGCGGGAGCGCAGGGCTGGGGACTTGGGTCTGGGGTGGGAGCGCAGGGCTGGGCTGGGGGTCTTGGGCCCGGGGTGGGAGCGCAGGGCTGGGGAACCTGGGCCCGGGGCGGGAGCGCAGAGCTGGGGGACTTGGGCCCGGGGTGGGAGCGCAGGGCTGGGGAACCTGGGCCCGGGGCGGGAGCGCAGAGCTGGGGGACTTGGGCCCGGGGTGGGAGCGCAGGGCTGGGGAACCTGGGCCCCGGGCGGGAGCGCAGAGCTGGGGGACTTGGGCCCGGGGTGGGAGCGCAGGGCTGGGGGACTTGGGCCTGGGGCGGGAGCGCAGGGTTAGGGAACGCAGGCTGGGGACGAGGGCCTGGGGCGGGAGCGCAGGGTTAGGGAACGCAGGCTGGGGACGCGGGCTTGGGGCGGGAGCGCAGGGTTAGGGAACGCAGGCTGGGGACGAGGGCCTGGGGCGGGAGCGCAGGGTTAGGGAACGCAGGCTGGGGACGAGGGCCTGGGGCGGGAGCGCAGGGTTAGGGAACGCAGGCTGGGGACGAGGGCCTGGGGCGGGAGCGCAGGGTTAGGGAACGCAGGCTGGGGACGAGGGCCTGGGGCGGGAGCGCAGGGTTAGGGAACGCAGGCTGGGGACGAGGGCCTGGGGCGGGAGCGCAGGGTTAGGGAACGCAGGCTGGGGATGCGGGCCCAGGGTGGGAGCAGGAGCGCTGGGCTGGGGACTTGAGCCTGGGACCGGAGCATAGGACTGAGAGCACAGGACAGAGACACAGGCCTGAGGCCGGGGCTCCCCACTGCATGGCGCATACAACCTGAACTCTTTCCCCCACACCCTTGGGGAGACCACCCTTCCAGGTGGACACTGCTCCGAGTCAGCGCTGTGCACAAGCTGGAGGCCGAGATGGCCCCAGTGCCCTTCTGGATCCCTCTGCCACTGACCAGGGCCTGTTGCACACAGCTGCAAAGGTCTTGGGAGCTGGCACTGGTATTGCCATCTCACAGACCCAGAACGTGGACGCTTGCAGGATTCCCAGTGTGGTCAGCTGTGGGCAGCGGACTTGTCCTTGTGTCTCCCAAGTCCTGGGGACTTGTCGGGCACATTACAGCGGTCAGCACACAGGAGCCTGATGCAGGCTGTCCTGGCCGTGCTGTCCGACACCTGAGAGCCCAGGGCACCAGAGAAGGATGTGGCTCCCTGTGGGCACAGCCGTGGAGGGAGGCCGTGTGTCCCCCCAGCCACGTGGGCACAGCCGTGGAGGGAGGCCGTGTGTCCTGCCCTAGTCGTGTGGGCACAGCCGTGGAGGGAGGCCAAGCATCCCCCCAGCCACGTGGGCACAGCGTGCTGGTGCAGGTGGAGTCGCTCAGAGCGATGAGGACAGCTGTCCAGTAGGGGCGCTGTGGGGACAGGCCAGGGGCAGGTGCACAGCTGGCTGTCTTTCCCCTATGTACCAACCACAAAGCCCAAGGCCTCAGGGTGGGGCTGAGGCAGGGCTGCTGGGAGGGCACAGTGGGAGGACTGGGGCCTGAGAAGCTGTGGCTCAGGCTGGCCTGTCTGCCACACCTAGGGTGTCTCCCCAGGGTCACAGCAAGGTGTTCCAGGCCGGCTGGTGCCTCACAGCTGGCAGCTGTCACAGAATAGAGGGCAGCTGGCAGCAGGGGGAGTAGCCCTGCGCTCCAGCTCCTGTGCGTAGCGCCTGCAACCTCCGGCCGTCGCCAGGCTAACAGCAGACCTTCCTGGGCCCGTCCCTGCCATGGACAGAGGAAGTTCAGTGCACACCAGAGGGGCGCCAGGCCTGCACAGCCACACCACACTCACCCTCATCAGCATGCCCCACGGGCGGTTCGCGTACACCCAGGAAGTTCTCATGGGAAGTACACTTGCCTTCCCAGCCCACCCTGACACCCCATGAGGACAGGTGGACGGCAGGGCCACTCCGGAACAACCCAGAGGGCCTGCCAGGATTTGAGAATGTGGCAAGGGGAATTGTCCGGGGATGGGTCTCTAGCCTCAGCAGAGCCGGGGCTGCACCACGGGAAGGCAGCACTGGACGGCCCGGGGCCCTGCTCAGATCACTAGCAGTGTTTTTAGTTAATCCGTCTGCAAATGGGGTCACGTGGTGGCCCTGGGCAGCACCAGGAGCCAAGGCTCTTGGAAGGGCTGCTGTGTCCGAGCCTGCTAGTCGGCAAACAGGGGTGGGCTGGGCGGCCCAGGAGGCGCGGGGCCGGCCCCTTCCGCTCCGCGGCAGCCTCGCGGATCTGCCGCCAAGGCCGCCTCGCAGCCAGGAAGGAGGTCCAGGTGCGCCCACTTCCCGGTGACTCAGCACCTCCAGGCCAGCCCGCACCGCGGCCGCTCCCAGGTGCGGGCCGTGCGCGAGGCGGGGCCGGCTCCGGTTACCGGCGGGGCGGGCGCACGTCACGTGTGTGCACAGGGCCCGGCCGGCGTGCGCGCCGCGAGCCCGGGCTGCCCGCTGCCCAGCGAGCCGGTGAGTGGGCCCGGGGGGCTGGGGGCGGCGGTCCCGCGGTGCGTGGCCCTGCGTGGCGAGGTCCCTTCCTGGGCACAGTGACCACCAGTTCACTGACTGTTGCCGGACAGCTGGATCCATGTGCGCTTTACGGGTCATGACAGCCATAGCTGTCCTGCTCTGCCCTTAGAACGCTCCTTGTAACTCCCTGTAAGCCTGGAACTGTGGCCGTCTGGGGACAGCGCGACTGGGTCCTTCCGGCAGGGAGCAGCCCAGCGGGGCTCCCCACCAGGCTAGCGGCCCATGCCCTGTGCACTTGTCACAGCCGCTGGCTCCTCCCCGCTAGCCTAGCGCTTCTCCCAGGCCCTGGAGCACCTGGCACAGCGGGCTCCCTCCTGGGAACCCTGACACTGCTCAGGGGGAGCTGCAGAGAGCAGCTGGAGACGCTGGCTCTGGGGGCCTTGGCAAGGCAAGCAGCGCCTCCAGGGCCCAGGAGCACCCCTGGACGACGGGGCCAGAATGTGGCCACACTGTTGCCCGCCCACAAAGGCCTCTAAGGGCCAGGGGCCGCCTGTGCCAGCTGACCACCCACTCCACAGTGGCCCTGTGCTTGGAGGCCAGCCCCCGAGGAGAGCTGAGTACAGCTGCCCCGTGGTGACCCAGCCCCTGACCAGGCAGGTGTGAGCCAGCGAGGGGACCAGAGTGGGGCAGAACAGTGATCACCTAGCTGGAGACACCAGGATGAGACGCCAACCAGGAGCAGGACTGGGCTCTGGGGCCTCCAGGGGCTGTGGCAGGGACACACGGGGTGGTCAGTGGGGTTCCCCAAACCCTGACACAGAGGAGGAACTACGGTGGGGACACACGGGGTGGTCAGTGGGGCACCATGCGCCCGGACACAGAGGAACTGTGGGGTGTGGAAGGTGGTGGCTTGTACTCTCACTGCCTGCAGCGCAGAGCAGTGCAAAGCACCGGGCTGCAGAACCCAGCACGCTGCACCCCGCCAAGGGCTGCCCTGCGCCACACCATGCCTTCCTGAGGCCCGAACGCTGCCACAATGTCCTGAGGCAAACACCAGCCCCCTTGAGCAGGAAAAGCCTCCCCCGCCGACCTACGCCCTGCCCGCCACAGGAAGCCAGAGGCCCCAGCTACTGTCAGGGAGGACGCCCACACACACCCAGCGGCCCCAGGCTCAGCTTCCCCCCCCCCGCCCCGGCCACCCTGAGCTGTCCCTTCACACCCCCGTGCCCCTGTGTGTGCACTGGATTCGCGCTCCAGAGCAGCCCTGGACTTGGGTGAAGCACAGCTGGGGCTCAGGGGGGCTGGGGAAGCCCTGCCATGCTGGGCCCTTTTAAATAAGGCACAGGAAGGGAGATGACCTTGAACCCCCGCTGGCCAGCAGGCAGTGCTGTCCTGTGGCCTTCCTGGGGCATGGGCCTCCAGCCGCCTTCCCAGCGCCACCGTGCCAGGTCCTGGCAGCGTACCCCCCACCCCCAGCTGTGAAAGCAGAGCCACGAGTTCACACTCTGCTCTAGCCTGGGGACCCACTGCCTGGTGGGTGCCTCCACTGACCACCCCCATGTGCCCCGCCATAGTTCTTCCTCTGTGTCCGGGTGCGGGGTGCCCCCACTGACCACCCCCTGTGTCCCCACTGCAGTTCCTCCTCTGTGTCGGGGTGGGGAAGGTGGTGACCTGGAAGAGCCAGGTACCCACCTGCTCAGCATGAACCATCTCACAGGGATGTCCCAGGCTTGGGGAGATGGAGGCCTGGGGACAGTGTGGCTCCTGTGTGCAATGCTAGCCTCTCATCCTGGAGCACCAGTTCGAGTCCCAGTGGCTCTGCTTACCAGCCAGTTCCCTGTTAACACAATGGCCGAGGCTGTCCCAGGGACCTGTATGCTTAACCCAGCCAGCCCAGAGGTCCCGTGTGCACCGTGCGCCCAGCCAGCCCAGGGGTGCCTATGTGCACCATGCACCCAGCCCAGCCAGCCCAGGGGTCCCCGTGTGCACCATGCGCCCAGCCAGTCCAGCCAGTCCAGGGGTGCCTATGTGCACTGTGTGCCCAGCCAGCCCAGGGGTCCCCGTGTGCACCATGCGCCCAGCCAGTCCAGCCAGTCTAGGGGTACCTATGTGCACTGTGTGCCCAGCCAGCCCAGGGGTCCCCGTGTGCCCAGCCAGCCCAGGAGTCACCGTGTGCACCATGCGCCCAGCCCAGTGATAGGGTGATCCGTGCTATCTTGCTTCTCCTGCCCAGGCTCCCTTCTCTGCCCAGCTCTGGATCACTACATGACCAGGTGCAATCGAGGGGGGGGGGTCTGCATGGGCGGTCCAGGGGCTGCCAGTTACAGATGAGGATGGGGACGCTGTGAGCTGGAGCAGGTGCTGCTGGAAGCTGGCGGGCACTTGGGCCAGCATGGCAGCTTGGACGGGGTGTGGGGGAGGGGATGCAGTGTGGAGCCAGTGGCAAGAGCCCTGCTAAGCCAATGGTGCAGGCAGGAGGCTCTGGCCTCAGGCCTGTGGGACCACCTCAGTGGGATGCCGGCCACCTGCCCCCCGTGCCACGTCCTCTCCAGGTTGTGGGTAAAGGGAGAGATATCCTCTGGTGCTTTGCACTTTGCTCCAGCCCTCACTGTAGGGGGAAGGTGGGAAGAGCCATCAGTCCTAGATGGTTCACCAGCCAAAATGTTCAAGGAGGAACCATGGTGGCGAAGCCAGCTCCACTGCCTGCTCTCACCAGGCCAGCGCCTGCCCTGTGGGCACAGCCTGCCCCTCTGACGGCCCCTCACCAGCCAGCGCCTGCCCTGTGGGCACAGCCTGCCCCTCTGACAGCCCCTCACCAGGCCAGCGCCTGCCCTGTGGGCACAGCCAGCTCCTCTGCCCGCCCTCACCAGGCCAGCGCCTGCCCTGTGGGCACAGCCTGCCCCTCTGACGGCCCCTCACCAGCCAGCGCCTGCCCTGTGGGCACAGCCTGCCCCTCTGACGGCCCCTCACCAGCCAGCGCCTGCCCTGTGGGCACAGCCTGCCCCTCTGCCGGCCCTCACCAGCCAGCGCCAGCCCTGGGCACAGCCTGCCCCTCTGACGGCCCCTCACCAGCCAGCGCCTGCCCTGTGGGCACAGCCATCTCCTCTGCCAGCCCTCACCAGCCAGCGCCTGCCCTGTGGGCACAGCCTGCTCCTCTGACGGCCCCTCACCAGGCCAGCTCCCACTGCCCGCCTCTCACTAGGCCAGCACCTGCCCTGTGGCTCCCCTCCTCAGCCCCCTCAGGATGCCAGTCTTGACCCAGGCTGAGCAGGTGTGCAGCCAGCCACCCCTCGCTGACCAGGAGTGTGGCATTCTGTATTGAGCGACAAGCTGGGAGAGACTGGGGCTAGAAGTGGGAGGCAGGTGGCCAGACCTGCTGGGTGTAGCAGAGAAACCAGCCTGGGGGGCGCTGGGGGCAGGGACACGGGAAGGCGTGCCACCAAGCAGGGGCCCCTGTGGCCGGGCAGTGCTTGGCAACTGGGTGGACAAGCAAGGCTTACTGGGGTCCTGACCAGGCCTAGCTGAGGAGGCAGCGGGTGGTGGCCCTGCAGCCAAGGTGGGTAGCTTCCCCAGGGGGAGTGCATCCATGAGGGCCTGTCTGCCCCTTCTGGCACCAGGGCAGACACAAGCTCGAGGTGCAAGGCTGGCTGAGGCCTTCAGGGTGCCCACCTGCTGCCCTTCACCCTGGGCCACAGTCCTGGAGCCTGTCCTCTCTGTGGCAGGAGATGGTGGTAAGAGCGTCCCCTCAGATGCCTTGACCGTGAGAAGACAGGCCCCCCCAGGCCCTGCACTCGGGGGCTACAGGGGTTATTGCTCAGGGAGACACAAGACGCTCACCAGTACAGTCCAGGGAGTACGCATGTCCTTGGCACTCAGCACCGGCCTGCATGCCTCCAGCTGGGGCCATGTGAGTGTGGGCACGCACCAAGGGACTTCCAGGCCACCATGCCAGCTGGGGCCATGTGAGTGTGGGCACACACCAAGGGACTTCCAGGCCACCATGCCAGCTGGGGCCATGTGGGTGTGTGCACACATGGAGGGACTTGCAGCCCACTCTGTCACACCAGCTGGGGCCACGCGAGTGTGTGTACACGGAGGGACTTCAAACCTACTCTGCCACACCAACCGGAGCCACGCGAGTGTGTGTACACGGAGGGACTTCAAACCTACTCTGCCACACCAACTGGAGCCACGTGAGTGTGCACACGGAGGGACTTCAAACGCACTCTGCCACACCAGCCGGGGCCACGTGAGTGTGTGCACACAGAGGGACTTCAAACCCACTCTGCCATACCAGCCGGGGCCACGTGTGTGTGCACACACCAAGGGACTTGCAGCCCACTCTGCTATACCAACCAGGACCACGCAAGTGTGTGCACACATGAAGGGACTTGCAGCCCGCTCTGCCATGCCAGCTGTCTGCGGGGGAGATGTGTGCGCGGCTATGGGACTCAGGGTGCTGCAGGCTCAGCCGGAGCCTCCATGGGCGTCTCCTGGTGAGGCCCTGGAAGATGTGCACCTAAAGCTTGCCAGGCCGTGCCCTCAGCACCAGGAGCCTGGGTGTTCACTAGCAGGGTGAACTGCGTATGCAGTTGCCCACTGGCCTGGCATCTGAGGCAGGGTACAGGAATGGGGAGGGTCCATCCTGCCTGCCAAGGGAGGCTGGGCAGGTGAGCATTTGACCAAGGAGCCACAGGCTGCTACTGCTAAGGGGCCGTTCCTCCTCAGGATGCAGCTCCCTGCCTTTGCGTGGCCACACTGCTGGTTGCAGGGCTGGAGTGGGGGCAACTTGGGGGCCAGCGACACACAGACGGGTCTGGCACTCACCCAGGTGTAGCAGGTACCCTCTTGGACCCCTGTCTTAGGCAACTGAGGAGTGCTAGACAAGGGGGGCTAGACGAGGGCATGGGGAAACATGGGCAGGGCACCACCATGGCTGCAGGCTGGCAACGACAGGGCTGACAGGGCGCAGACGACGGCCCCCCGTCCTGTGACTACAAGAACCCATAGGCCTTCTGGGACCCCCAGCCCCTGGGACCACCTTGCATGCTGAGGGGACAGGTGTGCGTGTGAGGACCTGCGTCCAGGCAGCGGGGAGCGGAGGTGACCAGGAGGCACCCACAGGTGATGGCAGTACTGGGCTGGCAGCACCACTCCCTCCATCCTCCCCTTTCTACTGAACCACCCATGTCCCTGCCACCAGCTCCTGTGTTACGGGCTAGTCCCTTACTGCGGGTGGCAGGGACGCACTGGGAGACTGAGCCGAGCCAGGCACAGGGCTGGGGGGGCGGAGAAGGGCTTTGCACGGCCCGAGCTTCCTCGCTGGGGCAGGGGTGGGGAAGCAGCGCTGCCGTCAGCGTGTGGCTTCCTGGCTTTGTCCTGGACTGGGAAACTGGGTGATGTTTCCCCTGGGGTGTCTGCTCCAGATCCGCCCTTTGTGTTCTGGGAGCAGGGGGGCTGGCCGGTCACCCCGCAACTCCACCCCAAGGAAGAGCCAGAGAGTGGGGGCTTCAGAGGGGAGGGGTCCACTCGACTTCCAAGCCTCACCTGCCACCTTCTTGTCCGGTCACAGCACGGCCGGCTGTCCCACATCACCCTGCACTGGGGCCACCTCACTGGGACCAAGCAGAGCCACCAAATGGACTGCTGTGCTGCGGGTCACAGCTCCTGCCTCAGCATGCCAGCCCTCCTGGTCCCCAAGCAGATGGCCTCTGTGGGGCTCACGTCCCTTGGGCATGGAGGTTTGTGCCCATGTGTGCCCCCAATGTGCCCTGTGACACACATGCTCGCAGGTCCCTGCGGGATACAGACACATCTCCATGTCCCACAGAGGGGCAGCCATATGAGGAGGCAGGTGCTGGCCCTGGGCAGTGCCCAAGCTGTGGCTCCTCCTGGCAGAAGGTCAGGAGGACGCAGACAGGGTCTGACTGAGTCACCCGCAGCTCCCATCAGCAGGACAAGCGTGACAGGGGAAGCGGGGACTGGCCGTGGACAGGGCGTCTGTGCAGGGGGAGCAGGGACTGGCCGTGGACAGGGCATCTGTGCAGGGGGAGCGGGGACTGGCCGTGGACGGGGCGTCTGTGCAGGGGGAGCGGGGACTGGCCGTGGACGGGGCGTCTGTGCAGGGGGAGCGGGGACTGGCCGTGGACAGGGGGCTGATGGCTATTCCTTTCTTCCACAGAGCTGTGCTGCCTGCCGGGCACCATGTGGGGCTGTGGCCCCCTCAATGAGACGGGGCCCGGCCAGGAGCCGCTGTGCCATGACCTGCGCCTGGGCCTGGCAGTCCTGTCGCTGCTGTACCTGGCTGTGGGTGTACCCGTGGGCCTGGCCGCCAACGCCCTGCTAGTGCTGGTGAACCTGTGCCACAAGAGTGCCATGACCATGCCCGACGTGTACTTTGTCAACATGGCAGTGGCTGGGCTTTTGCTCACCGCCCTAGCCCCCGCGGACTTGCTGGGTCCGCCCAGTGCCAGGTGGGCGCTCTGGGGCCTGGGCAGCGAGGCGCAGGTCACCCTGCTGGTGCTGTTCCACGTGGCCTCGCTGGTGATCATGTACTCCACCGCCCTGCTCAGCCTGGACTCCTACATCGAGCGCGCCCTGCCGCGCACCTACATGGCCAGCGTGTATAACACCCGCCGAGTGTGTGGCTTCCTCTGGGGCGGGGCCCTGCTCACCAGTTTCTCCTCGCTGCTCTTCTCCATCTGCAGCTACCTGGCAGCCCGCGTGGCCGAGTGCGCCAAAATGCGCAACACGGAGGCAGCCGCGGCCATCCTGGTGCTCATCGGCTTCGTGGTGCCGGCGCTGGCCGCGCTCTACGCGCTGACTCTCCTCTCTCGGGTGCGGGCGCAGGCCACGCCCCTGGACCAGGACTCGGGCCGGCTGGACCCGTCGGGGCACAGGCTCCTGCTGGCCACGGTGTGCACACAGCTGGGGCTCTGGACACCTTACTACCTGACGCTGCTGGGACACGCGGTGCTGGTCTCGCGGGGGGCGCCTGTGGGGGGCCCGGACGGCGGGCTCCTGCGCCTCTCCCAGGACGCGTCCCGCTTCCTGGCTTTCTCCAGCGCCCTGGTGACGCCGTTGCTGTACCGTTGCCTCAGCAAGAGCTTCCCGGGCAAGCTCCAGCGGCTCATGGGGAGGCTGCGCTGCAGGCCCCGGCGCTGCCCCCCGGACCAGGCCGCCAGCAGGTGAGGGCCACGCCGGGTGCTCCGCAGTCCTCCCACACGCAGCTTCCAGCCCCGACCGTGCATCTGCCTCGGGACGACGGCAGGAGAGCCACACAGATGATGCCAAGCCGCCCGGCACTGCCACTGAGAGCACGGGCCGTGGGCAGCACGGTCTGTATGGGTCAGCCCCCACGTGTGCCCCCAACTACAGCACATAAAGAGGCATGGTCAAGAGCTCTAATTGATACCAAGGCTGTAAGGTGTCCAGGGCAGGGGTGGGCCCACAGCTCGGCCACCAGGAACAGAACCCTGCCCAGCCGCCGTCCTCTAGGTGCCCAATCCGAGCCCTGCGGCACCCCCTGCCCATCCTGCATGCTGGCCCTGGCCTCAGTCCCTCGCGGCCTGCCCCCACGCCCCTGAGCCCCTGGCGGCCTGCCCCCACGCCCCTGAGCCCCTGGTGGCCTGTCCCCCATGCCCCTGAGTCCCTGGCGGCCTGTCCCCCACGCCCCTGAGCCCCTGGCGGCCTGTCCCCCGTGCCCCTGAGCCCCTGCCCGCCCCCCCCCGTGCCCCTGAGCCCCTGCTCCCCCCCCCCCCGTGCCCCTGAGCCCCTGGCGGCCTGCCAATCATGCCCGAGTCCCTGCTCTCCCCCGTTCCTCTGAGCCCCTGGCGGCCTGCCCCCGACACCCCTGAACCCCTGCCCCGCCCCCCCCCCCCCGTGCCCCTGAGCCCCTCTCCCCCCCGCCACCACCCCCCCGGCCAGCTGCTCCGCCGGGCCCAGAGCTCAGTGTCTGCCTCTGCCAGCCTCATCAGGAAGGAGGCAGACACTCTTTCCCTGCGGTCTGGGGTGCCAGGTGCGTTCTCTGGCCATACCTGCTGCTCTGAGGGCGGTGGGCGTCTCCAGCCTGAAGCTGAGCCCTGCCCCCTTCCTGGTGCCCTCCTGTTCTGGCTGCAGTGGCTGCTGGCTGAATAGCTCCAAGTGTCAGTGGGAGGAGAGGCCGGCCTGGGATCGCCCCTCCTGCCAGAGCCCCTAGGCTCCCGGCCCAGACCTGGATCGTGGCCTTGGCAGTGTCCCCAGGACAAGGCGGTCTGTGGGGGAGGGACTGAGTGCCAGCTGCTAACCTGTGGGCAGTTGCTGGGCAGCCTGACACTCCCGCCTAAGCCGGGCCCCTGCTGTGGAGTCAAGACCTCCTGGCCTGCACATCTGATCCCTCCCCTGCTGGGCTGCCCAGGGGAGCAGGTCTCTGGGCAGCCCTCCTCTGCTCCCAGCCCTGCCTCCCCACCAACACCTGTATGAGTAGCTTAAAGGTGGTTGGGGCAGGTGCTGTGCCTAACGGGCTAAGCTGCCACCTCTTCCAGTGCACCTGGGAAAGCAGCGGAGGGTGAGTGTCGGGGCCTGCACCCCCGTGGGAGACCCGCATGAGGCTCCTGGCTTCAGCTCGGCCCAGCCCTGGCCGATGGGCCCAGCTGGGCAGTGACAGGAGAGCGAAGATCTGTCCCTCCCCACCCCCCATGCTGCCTTTCCAAAAAATAAAAATTAATCTTAAAAATGATTCATTCCCAAAGCGAGTTTGATCTTAGGTTACTTGATGAAGGCTATAGAATCTGCTGCTCTGCACTGTGGGCGCCAGCGGGTCGGGCCAGCGCGGCGACACTGCAGGGCAAGCTGCCACTTGAGACATCGTCCCACGTGGCACTGCCGGCTCGATCCCAGGCCAGCCTCTCTTCCCACTGACACTGGAGCTGTACAGCTTCTCAGTTCTGATCCAGCTCTCTGCTAATGGGCTGGGAGGCAGCGCGAGATGGCCCAAGGACCTGGGTCCTGCCGCCACGCGGGAGGGCCGGACGGAGCACTGTGGGGGAGGGGAGCACCCAGGGGACAGGGTGCCCCTCGCTTCCTGTATCTTCTCTGGTTCACTTCCCAAGTGGCTGGAACAGCTGGAACTGAACCAATCCAAAACCATGAGCCAGGAGCTTCTTCAGGTCTCCCACGTGGGTGCAGGGTCCCAAGGCTTTGGGTCGCCCTCGACTGTGTTCCCAGGCCACAGGCAGGGAGCTGGAAGGGAAGTGGAGCAGCCAGGATGCCCATATGGGATCCTCCAGCCACCAGGCTACTGCGCTGGGCCTTCTCACTGCCTTTCGCTGAGGTGCAAGTGCTGAGATCTGGTAGGGCCATCGGGATGTGCCCAGCTCTCAGGCCAAGCGGCCCCTCACTCCACCGGCTGCCCTTCCGGGCTCCTGGCACTCAGCCCTGGGCCTGTGTGTTGGTGTGCTGCAGCAGGTCCACAGCTAAATGACTGTGTCCCCACTGCTACCGGCCTCGACCCTTCCCCTCTCCTCACGTGCCCGAGGCCGGGACCACACACTCAGGAAAGCACCCTCTCTGCCAGTGCGGAGGGCAGCGCTCAGCCACACCACACAGCTTCAGGGAGCTGCCCGGACAGGCCACGGAGGCTCCAGGAACTCTGCACCCTGAGAGCAGTGCACCGTGTCCACGCACACACTTCCATATACACACCCCCACACACTCAGATACCCACACACTCACGCATCCATATACACACACCCACATACACACACACACACACATGCATCCATATACACACACACCCCCACACACACACACACATGCATCCATATACACACACCCACACACACACACACATGCATCCATATACACACCCCCACACACTCAGATACCCACACACTCACGCATCCATATACACACACCCACACACACACACATGCATCCATATACACACACCCACATGTACATACCCATATACAGACACACACTCCCATATACACAACTGCACATATACACACACCCACATACACACACACATGCATCCATATACACACACCCACATGTACATACCCATATACAGACACACACTCCCATATACACAACTGCACATATACACATCCACACACTCAGATACCACACACTCACACGCACCCATATACAACCTCAAATACACACCTATACACACACACCCACACACTCAGATACCCATATACACACCCACACACCCATACACACACCCACACACCCACACACCCATATACACACCCACACACCCATATATACACACCCATATACACACACTCAGATACCCATATATACACACACCCATATACACACATACACACCCACATACCCAGCCACACACACACCCACATACACACCCAGATACCCATAAACTCTCATAAACACCCATCTATACATACACCCATATACACACTCGCATACCCCCATATACACACCCACATACACACCCACACACCCATATACACACACACCCATATACACACCCACATACACACCCACACACCCATATACACACACACCCATATACACACCCACATACCCATATACACACCCACACACCCATATACACACACCCATATATACACACACCCATACACCCATATACACACCCACATACACACCCACACCCCCATATACACACCCACACCCCCATATGCACACCCATATACACACCCACACACCCATACACACCCATATACACACACCCATACACACACCCATATACACACCCCATATACACACCCACACCCATATACACACCCATCCCATATACACACCCACACCCCATATACACACCACACCCCATATACACACCCACACCCCCATATGCACACCCATATACACACCCACACCCATACACACACCCATATACACACCCACACCCATATACACACCCACACCCATATACACACCCACATACACACCCACACCCCCATATACACACCCACACCCCCATATACACCCCCATATACACACCCATATACACACCCACACACCCATATACACACCCACACACCCATATATACACACACCCATACACCCATATACACACCCACACCCCCATATACACACCCACACACCCATATACACACCCACACACCCACATACACACCCACACACCCATATCCACACTCCCATATCCACACAGGGTCTACCCCACACATACAGGTTCACACATACACAAGGACACACACCCACATCTGTCTGCTCTCCAGGAACAGTCACCAGAAGAGATTTCGCACGTGTCAGCCTCAAGGTTGGGTGACCTCAGACTGTCCGTGGCCACCTGCCTGTGCATGGCAGGCTGGGTGGTATTGTGGGGACCATGCCCAAGACTGTGACTCCTCGGCCTCGCCAATGGCAGCAGGGAGCAGTCCTGGACATCACAGCTGTGCCGAGTGCTGAGGCCCGAGTCCTGGTGCCAGCCCTGGCTCTGCTCTCAGGCTCTGTGTGCTGTGTCCCCGGGAACTCCAGGACTCCCCGACACGGGGACAGCCTTTCCATGCAGGCCCCCAGCCTCTCGGAGGGTCTCATGTAGGTTCCAGAAGGTTCCCTGTGTTCTACCCAGGGCCAGGCAGGGGCAGCTCCAAAGTCCCAGGGCCCGCAGATGGCAGCATGAGCTGCGGCTGCACTCAACCCCAGGAGGAGCAGGTTCAGGGTGCTTCCCAAGGCCTTCCTGGGTGCCCAGTCCGAAGGTGTGGGCAGCTGCGGCTCCCAGGCTCTCTGCACGTGGTCCTAGGCTCCCGGCCTGCCTCCCACATTCAGCCACTTAGGGGAAGGGGAGCAGCAATGCAAAATGGCAAACCACTTGGCAGTGACTTAAAAATTAAACCATCTGTTGTGCAACTCCTATCTGTCCCAGTGATTCCACCTCTAGGTGTTTACCCAAGAAAACAAAACAGACACCCACACGGGCACTGGGCACAGATGCCCACAGCAGCTCTGGTTCTTGGAGCCACGTGGGCAACACAGACTGGGCTCTGCCCACAGGCACTGCCCCCAGGGAGGGTGGCCGGACACCACCATGCCCACGCATAGCCCGCCCTGAGGGTCAGGCCAGGTAAGGTCCAGGCAGAACACAGGGAACCTTCTGGAGTGTTGGAGGTGTGGGCGGTCGGCCACACAGGTGTGCACACTGTCCAGGCTCGTGGGGGTCAGTTCCAATACACTACTGGTCTGCTCAGGCCGAGGGACAAGAGGAGCGGGGAAGCTGCGGGGCGCCGCTAGCCGGCTGCTCCGGAGCTCCGCCCAGTGGCTGCCGGCAGACCTGCATGGCTCAGCAGGCCAGGAAGAGGTTACCGCTGGTCACACCTTGGCTTGTGCACAGCAAAGCTCCCCAGCTGTGTGGGTGCCCTCCCCCCGGGGCACACGTGTGGACACAAGGGGCCCAACACCTCCAACTTACAGTAACCTCCCTCAGTGCGGCCACAGCACGGGCAGCAGGTGCCACGTGATAGCGCATGCTCCGAGGCGGCCCTGCGGGTGCTGGGAGGGAGTCCCAGGTGTCGTCCCGCCTGGCCTCTGTGTGACCCAGCGTCCCAGCCCTGGCTCGAGAACCCCACTCTGCCAGGGTGTACCTCGCGAGTTTTACCTCACGCTAGGTCAGAGGGCGTGCCTGCTGCCCAGGCCTCAGCGTCCAGAGCATAGCACAGTGGCCCTGGGTGCCCACCTCAGACCACCAGGCAACCCCGCCGAGGGCACAAGGACACTGTCGGCTAAATAGCACTGGAGTCACAAACTTCCTGGGACCATATGGACCATCAAGGCCATGGCCAAGGGTACTGGTTGCCCAGGGCAGGATGAAGCCAGCTGCCAGCGTGCACGCACACACACACACACGTGTGTGCAGCCACAAGGACACGGGGAGCCACGTGGGCTCCATGCTGTCCTACACGTCCACACCGTCCATTGTCACACATCTGACCACCACAGCTGCAGTCCAGCCTCTGCCTGCAGGCTGGCCGGTGCCCAGTCGGACCAGCACAGTTCATGTGGACCCTGCAACTGGGAACGAAGCCCAATCCACAGTGACACCCTAAGATGGCAAGAAAGGGGTGGAGGAGGCGCCATGCTAGGGGGTAGCGCTGCCAAGCAGGCAGGGAGGAGTGGTGGTAGCAGACTCTGCCTCACAGGCTCCACATGCAGCCTCACGGCCTCCACACACAGCCTCACAACCTATATCCATGGCCTCATGGCCTCCACTCGCAGCCTCACGGCCTCCACACACAGCCTCACAACCTATATACATGGCCTCATGGCCTCCACTCGCAGCCTCACGGCCTCCACACACAGCCTCACGGCCTCCACTCGCAGCCTCACAGCCTCCACACGCAGCCTCACGGCCTCCACACACAGCCTCACAACCTATATACATGGCCTCATGGCCTCCACATACAGCCTCACGGCCTCCACACGCAGCCTCACGGCCTCCACACACAGCCTCACAACCTATATACATGGCCTCATGGTCTCCACATACAGCCTCACGGCCTCCACACGCAGCCTCACGGCCTCCACTCGCAGCCTCACAGCCTCCACACGCAGCCTCACGGCCTCCACACGCAGCCTCACAGCCTCCACACGCAGCCTCACGGCCTCCACACACAGCTTCACGGCCTCCACTCGCAGCCTCACAGCCTCCACACGCAGCCTCACGGCCTCCACACGCAGCCTCACGGCCTCCACACGCAGCCTCATGGCCTCCACACACAGCCTCACGGCCTCCACTCGCAGCCTCACAGCCTCCACACGCAGCCTCACAGCCTCCACACGCAGCCTCACGGCCTCCACTCGCAGCCTCACAGCCTCCACACGCAGCCTCATGGCCTCCACACGCAACCTCACGGCCTCCACATGCAGCCTCACGGCCTCCACATGCAGCCTCACGGCCCCACACACAGCCTCATGACCTCCATACACAGCCTCATGACCTCTAAACACAGCCTCACGGGCTCCACACCTAGCCTCATGACCTCCACACGTGGCTTCATGGCCTCTAAATGCAGCCTCACGACCTCCACACGCAGCCTCACGGCCTCCACACGCAGCCTTGCAGCGCCCACTGAGTCTTCTGGCCCCTGTCCTCTTCTCCTCTGCCCTTGTCTCTTGGTTTCCCGCCCCATGTCTGTGCTCCCCAGACACCTTGCTGGCCTGACGCTGCACCGTCCCCCTAGGCATGCTCAGCAGGCACTGGCCAGTCCCTGGACACCCGCCACTCGGGCCGTTGAGGCGGCAAGGCCACAGGCAGGGACCACGGCCCGCGTCCTCCGACCCACATGGGCGGCTACTGCCACCCTTCATGCCACAGCATGGGGTTCCCCAGAGTCAAGTACCAGTCAGGAAAGGTCAGGGTGCCTGCTGTGGGAGACACATGCCCCCAGCCGCTGGGGACCCTCGGACACCTGAATGCTGCCCGCACCATGCCTGGGGGTTGGCCGGGCCCGCAGCTTCCTCGCATAAAGGCTGTAATTCTAAATTGAGTTGAACTGTTCATAGGTTTTAATCAGGTTTTCCATGTCGTTCTGGGGTCAGCATTGACCATTTGATTCATTCTCCAGAAGGCTGGGGCTGGGCCAGTCTGCCTGCCACCTGGGTCAGACCCCTGGGTTGGGCGGGTCTGCCCTGTGGGTGGGTGGGTCTCCCTTGTGGGCACAGGAACCCCCAGGCCTCGGACCACCTGGGCCAGTCCCCCTGGGGCTGGGTGGGTCTGCCCTGTGGGCACAGTGGGTCCCTGGGGATCCTGCATCCCCCACAAGGCAGCTCTGATACCCTTACCATCAAATCAAATTTTCTCCAGCTCTACCAGGCACTGGGCAGGGCAGGAAAGACCCAACTTGGCAGTGCTGAGAGGCCCCGTTGAGCATATTTCTATGCCCACCTCTGCCGAACTTCTCCGCCCTGAGTTTCAGAACAAATTAAATCACTTCTACAAAATCTGCAGCCGGACACACGCCTCCCGCTGTCCCACCAAACACTTCTCCTGGCCTCTGCCTGACGGCCCCATCCCATCCCTCCCTTCCTGACCGGCACCCGGCTCTCATCTGAGCCACTGAGCCCTGCTGTGTGGGGTCCCCAGACATCTGCCGAGAGACCATCACCCTGCTGCCCTCTCATGCCCAGCACAGAGCACACAGCCTCCCGCCCCTCTCCTCTGCAGGCACATGTCTAGATGGGTCTCTTGCCTTGTAGGCATCCTTGCCAACAAGCAGGGCCACCTGACAGGTGTGGGCACAGAGGAGCCAGTGGCTGTGCAGGGATGAGACACAGGGTGCTGTCCCTCGAAAGGACATGTCCCCCAGAACCTGAAGCTCTCCTAGCTCCAGGGACCACGGCCACCCCGGGGCGGGACACCTGTGCTCCAGGGACCACGGCCACCCCGGGGCGGGACACCTGTGCTCCAGGGACCACGGCCACCCCGGGGCGGGACACCTGTGCTCCAGGGACCACGGACTCCCCGGGGCGGGACACCTGTGCTCCAGGAACCACGGACACCCCGGGGCGGGACACCTGTGCTCCAGGGACCACGGCCACCCCGGGGCGGGACACCTGTGCTCCAGGGACCACGGACTCCCCGGGGCGGGACACCTGTGCTCCAGGGACCACGGACACCGCAGGGCAGGTGGGGCAGCAGGCCATCTCAGCACTGCCAGGCCTCTGAGCCAGCACAGGGAGAACCAAGACCAAGGAACTCGTGACAGCCGCAGATCTAGACCTGGGAAGACGCCTCACGCAGGGTGTGCTGCAGTCCCTGGGAAATGCAGAGGAGCGCACGCGGGCAGGGGACGACCTGCAGTGAGGACAGTGCTGGCTGGTCAACGCTCCCACGGGGGGACGGGCCCTGCGTGTGCCTCCTGTGGCAGGCGGCAGGCAAGGCACTGCGGGCACCAGCACAACGCCTCACCCCCTGCAGGGCACAATCAAGGAGTCTGAGATGCCTGGGAGGGGTCTGGTTAGGACAGCCATGTTAGATTTGCCGACCACCAAGGAAGGAATGCATCAGCTAAGTAAGAACTTCAGTGGCTTTCTTTCAGGGAACTGTGCGCGGCTTCACATCCCCACGTGGCAGACAAGCAGGACGAGCCGTAGAGGACGGAGAGGCTGGAGGAGCCGTGCAAGGGGTTTTTAAACCCCTCTCGACATGGACGCCGGAACGGGGTGGGGGTCGCCTTGGCCCTTACTTGGGGGGGATAAGGGTTTGTGCCCCTTTTGGTGATCTCACAGCCCCAGGCACCTCCCCCCCCCCCAATTCCATCCTTGCGGGTTGCAGCCTGAGGGTGGGCTGGAAGCAAGCGCCGCCCTCCTCCAGTTGCCATGGAAATCATCAAGCCACAGTTGCCATCCAAGCCCTGGTAGGGCTCCAGGGCGGCTCTCCCGCAGGGCACAGTCACTGACCCACAAGGTCCTCGGCCCAGCACCACCCTGGGCGCCGCCCCTCCAGGAAGGCCTGCTGTCACCCCTGAACGCGGGCACCTCCTGCCCCCTGATCCCCGCTGCCCAGAGGCCAAGGGCAGGACACTGCAGTCTAGGCTGCTGGCCGTGCTCAGCACGGAACGGGCTCAGCCAGCGTTTGCTTGACCTCAGGCCTGCAGAGGATGCGGAGTAGGCTGCCTCGCTCTGATCAGACGTGGCTGTCCTGAGCCCTCTGCCGTGGGAGTGGGCGCCTTGGCGGGACAGCCCTCTGCCGTGGGAGTGAATGCCCTCCCCACAGGTCCTACTTTAAGCAGCAGCCGCGCCTGCATCCTGGGCGGGGCTGTGAACGTGGCCAGCGGGGAAAACCGCAGCCAGCCGGCTCCGGGAGCGTTACTTTTTCCGTCTCCCCACATAGGCTGGTTTGAATGCTTCTGGGTCACATGGCAGCCAAGTACACGGCAAAGGCAGTTCCGTGGTTTACATGGCTGGGGACCAGGTTCCTGTTTTCCTTGCAGAGCTGTGGGCGTCAGTCTGCACAAAGCAAGGGCAGCAGCGGGCCGGGCGGCAGCGGGCCGGGCAGCAGCAGGCCCGGGACCCCTGGATCCGCCAACTGGACACCCTTCAGACTGCAGGCTGGTCCTACCAGGTAATAATTCATAGTAAGAAATGGTCAGCAGACCACCAGGCCTTCCTACGAAAGACGGACGGTGGCTGCCACTGTCTGCCTGGTGGGCATCCTCAGCAGGCTGGCGAGGGGTCAGCATGGGCACAGGCCTGGAGGTGTGGGTTCTTGGCTGGCCGGGAGGGGCAGGGGCCCAGACACGCAGCCTTGTGCCTGGAAGGTGATGCCGGGCAGAGCCTGGGAGAAGCTCAGGGCAGGGAGGGGAAGGGGCACGGCGGCGGAGGGGTGACCATGACGTGTTCCACGCTGGACCTCTGAGCACACGGACACCGAGGTCTTGGGTGGGGACATTGAGCCACGCCCCTCCCACTTCAGCGTCTCAAGCACCCAGCTGCCAAAAAGGAAGTGTGCAGGCCCTCTCTCAGTACCCAGTGTGCCCTCACCCACCAGGGAGCGCCACGTGCCCACAGGTTCAGGGGCAGGAGGCAGGCCCTCTCCCAGCAACCAGTATGCCCTTGGTGGGGTGTGTTGACCTGTGTGCGTGGAGCCGCACGCGGGCTGGGGCGTGTCAGTGGACATGGAACTGCACGTGGGCTGGGGCGTATCTGTGGACATGGAGCCGCACGTGGGCTGGGACGTGTCTGTGGATGTGTAGTCATATGCAGGCTGGGGCGTGTCTGTGGACGTGGAGCTGCACGTGGGCTGGGGCGTGTCCGGTGCGTGTTGCTGTGTGCAGGCTGGGGCGTGTCAGTGGACGTGGAACTGCACGTGGGCTGGGGCGTGTCTGTGCACATGGAGCCACACGCGGGCTGGGGCGTGTCTGTCTGTGAGCACACATCTCTGTAAGGGCCTGCTACCTGCACACATCTGTGTCTGAGAGGAAACTCATGTGATTTTTCTGGAAGACTTGGACAAAGCAGAAACCACCTTATCCTTACCCTTCAGTAAGTCAGTCGTGGAAGTGGCCAAACAGGAAGGAACAGAGGAGGGGAGGATGGGGGTTGGGGCAAGCTGCTTACCCAGATGACCAAGGCTCGCCAGGGCTGATGGAGTGGCCTGAGGCAGCAGAGGAGACTGGGATAGACTCCCACGGGCCGGAGCAGCCAGGCTGCAAGGGCAGAGTCCCACAGAGCATGGGGGGCACCAGAGGGCGGAGCTAGTCCCCGGGCTGTATGCAGCCTCTCTGGCCCGAGACCTTTTCCGGTGGGGGGGGGGCCCAAGCCAGAGTGGCAGAGACGGGCAGGATGGTTCCTCTTCAATGGGCCCCAGGGTTTGGCAAGACTCGCTCCTGTTGGCATGGGCAGCTCAAGCTCAAGGGAGCACGGCAGCCCCCACGGCAGCCCCAGCTGCTACGGGGATCCAGAAGGGAGCAGGTGCACCATGAAGACCTGCAGGCATCTAGAGTGCTCTGCGCCCGCAACTCCCAGGAAGAACGCCAACGCCGCCAACATGTGGGCGTCTCCAGCTCGCCTCGTTTGGGGAGCCCCGAGTTGGCTCCCCAAACCCTGAGGGTCCCAGCCCGAGAGGCAGGTGCCTGCCAAGAGCCAGCTGCCCTCCTGTGCGGGCCCTGGGGACCCCTGGGCTGCTCCCTACCCAGAAAGCATGGTGACACCTGCCCAGATGTGCTCTCAGGGCTGGCAGCAGGCACAGCCTTCCTCCACCCACCAGCAGCACCAGACACAGCCGACTACCACGAGGTGCAGGGTGCCGTGTGGGGTCCCAGAAAACGGGGTGCAGGGCCTCAGACACTGACCACCGTGAGCTGACGGCCACAAGGTGCAGGATGCTGTGTGGGGTCCCAGAAAACGGGGTGCAGGGCCTCAGACACTGACCACCGTGAGCTGATGGCCGCAAGGCGCAGGATGCCATGTGGGGTCCCAGAGCACGGGGTGCAGGGCCTCAGACACTGACCACCACAAACTGACAGCTACATGCCAGGTGTCTGGCAGCACAGCGCGTTAATTCACAGCGCGTCTGCCCCATCTGGCATTATCGAGCGATTCTCCCAGCCACTTCCTCCTGGCCTGGTCACTCATCTTCATTTCTAAGCCGCTGGTGTCTTGGGGATCGACAAGCACCTGCAGTGCCGGCATATGGAGAACATCAGAACTTGCTGCCAGGCCTGACTGCAAGCACCCCCAGGCCCAGGAACGTGAGAACACCCCAGAGCCAGGAGGGCGTCTGATGCAGCGTCAGGCTGCCCGTGACAGTGCCCAGGCCCATGGCTACCCTCACAGTCCTGGCAGTCTGAGCCCCTGTTCTCACGGCTCCCCCGCTATCCCTGCACAGGGCAGCATGGAGCGCCCTGGGGCCGTTCCCCAAGAGGGCCAGCGGGGCCTACCCTGGACCCCCATCTCGGGCAACGGTGGGCTGCCCTGCCCAAGGAAAGCCAGTTAACAAACCCTAAAAGCCTGAGGTGGCTTCCAGGAGCAGCTCAGGGGGGCGGCAGCAGGCAGAAGGCCACATGGAGTTTCTGTAGCCAGGCCGGCCCGGGCCCAGGGAGCCTCCGTCAGGCCGGGCAGCCACAGAGGCTGGCCGGCAGCTCCATGCAAGCACGTTTTCTCTGCAGTGAACTGCTCTGGCGTACAGATGAGTTCTCAAGTGCAACCCGGGGTTGTGGGTTGGCAGCAAGGGTCGGGACACATGGCCTGGGGGGCGGGCTGGCAGCCAGGGGCGGGGCACATGGCCTGGGGGGCGGGCTGGTAGCCGTCACTGTGACCCACAGTGATGAACGGAAGACCTTAGGGAGAGTCAGGGTGGGTTCTTGCTTTTGTTTTAAAGAATTTCCTTTTAGAATGTATGTGAAAGGCACAGTCATAGGAAGCTTCCGTCTGCTGGTTCCTGCCGAGGCAGTGGTAATGGGCAGGCTGGGCCAGGCTGAGGAGCCCAGAACCGCCTTAGGGTCCCGCTGCGGGAGCAGGACCCAGGCCTCGTCAGCTTTAGCAGGAGCCAGAGAGAAGCAGAGCCAGGAATCGAAGTGGTGCGCATCGGGACGTGTCAGCACCACCCACAAATGTCAGCTCCTAGATACCAGCAGCGCAGATTCTACGTCCACCAAGGGAGAGAAACACCTGGACAGGTGTGGGCGGTGCAGGTGGCGACTGAGGACAGGAAGAACCCCGCACAGGCAGTCACAAGCAAGGCCACACTGCAGTTCAACTCCAGGGGCGCCCACATGTGCTGAGTCCTCCCCACCCTGGACAGCAAGGTATTGGACTCGGGGAAGTTCCAAACGCAGGAGCAAGGTTCCAGGGGAAGGGGCTCTGGGTGGGGGTGCTGTGCCATGGCTGCTTGAGGCCCCATCTGGACCCATGGGCTGCTAGGAGCAGACAAGGGGAGCAGCAGTGTGCAGTGTACAGGAGGACCTGAGACACGTGGCAGACATGGTACCAACGTACAGCCAGGTCTGGCGCCAGCCGCCTCTCAAGGGCAACCTGGCTGTGCATGAGTGCACCCCAGTTCTGAGGCTGAGGCCTGGGTCTGCACCTGCAGCTACATGACACGCTGCAGGCCTGAGTGTGCAACAACCCCACGAGAGCTGCCTGGATGGCAGCTGCACCCCCGCGACAGGACAAGGGTCCCTCCCTGCAGCATTACCTCCTAGCCCTACCCGCAATGCAAATGGACGAGTCAGTGGCGGCACCAGGAGCCCACAGGCTTGATACAACTGCTGCCGACGGGTCCGGGGGTCTCCTGGGGGTCTCTGAAGCCCACCTGAGTGGCCACTGGGCCTTTCCAGGGAAGAGGGGTAGGGAACGGCAGTGCAGAGGGGTTGCAGGCAATCGCCTTGAGAGGAGTGGCAGAGACCAAAGAAGCAGGACACACTGCATGGGTCCAAAACTGGAAACTCCAGAACACCACACATCATTCCCAGGTGCTCCTGGGGGAGACGGACGAGCTGGCTGAGCTACGCGGGGCACACTCCTGGGCTTGTGGCTCAGGGGGCTCTGTGGGGCTCGGAATCCTACCTCCTGCCCAGCTTCCTAGTGGTTGAAGAGCACTGACACCTCCGACATGAGGCAACACCAAGTGCCCTGTGACGGCCATGGCGTCGGGCAGGCCCAGGTGGTGAGGCAGTGCTGAGTGCCCTGTGACGGCCGTGGCATTGGGCATGCCCCAGGTGGTGAGGCAGTGCTGAGTGCCCCGTGACGGCTGTGGCGTTGGGCAGGCCCAGGTGGTGAGGCAGTGCTGAGTGCCCTGTGACGGCCGTGGCGTCGGGCAGGCCCAGGTGGTGAGGCAGTGCTGAGTGCCCTGTGACGGCCGTGGCGTCGGGCAGGCCCAGGTGGTGAGGCAGTGCTGAGTGCCCTGTGACGGCCGTGGCATTGGGCATGCCCCAGGTGGTGAGGCAGTGCTGAGTGCCCCGTGACGGCTGTGGCGTCGGGCAGGCCCAGGTGGTGAGGCAGTGCTGAGTGCCCTGTGACGGCCGTGGCGTCGGGCAGGCCCAGGTGGTGAGGCAGTGCTGAGTGCCCTGTGACGGCCGTGGCGTCGGGCAGGCCCAGGTGGTGAGGCAGTGCTGAGTGCCCCGTGACGGCTGTGGCATTGGGCATGCCCCAGGTGGTGAGGCAGTGCTGAGCGCCCCGTGACGGCCGTGGCGTCGGGCAGGCCCAGGTGGTGAGGCAGTGCCGAGCGCCCTGTGACGGCCATGGCGTCGGGCAGCCCTGGCTGGTGAGGCAGTGCTGAGCGCCCTGTGACGGCCGTGGCATTGGGTATGCCCCAGGTGATGAGGCAGTGCTGAGTGCCCTGTGACGGCCGTGGCATTGGGCATGCCCCAGGTGGTGAGGCAGTGCTGAGTGCCCTGTGACGGCCGTGGCATTGGGCATGCCCCAGGTGGTGAGGCAGTGCCGAGCGCCCCGTGACGGCTGTGGCGTCGGGCAGCCCTGGCTGGTGAGGCAGTGCTGAGCGCCCTGTGACGGCCGTGGCGTCGGGCAGCCCCAGGTGGTGGGGCAGCACCGAACGCCCTGTGACGGCCATGGCGTGTGCCTCTGTTACAGAGCCAGTGCTGCCCACAGGATGGGTGCCCGCAACATGTCCTGGATCCGGTACCCGAGCCAGGTGTCCCCTGCTGTGGAGGATGTCATTGCCTCGCAGAGCATCGTGTCCAGGTGTGCCCAGGTCTACCTGGTCCTGTGTGTCCCGCTCAGCTTGGCCACAGGGCTCTTCAACTTGACTGCCCTGGTCCGGGACCGCGCCAGCCTGGGAGCCCTGAGCGTGCTCCTCCTGGGTCTCACGGTCACCAGCCTGCTGGGAACGCTGCTGTCCCTCAGTGCCGCCGGCAGGCCCGACTACCTGCTCACCACGAACCTGGGCTGCGCGACCCTCTGCTTCCTTGCCAACATCTGCTACTTCCACAGCCAGTACCTGCAGGTGGCCATGTGCGCCCTGTCCTTGCAGTCTGGCTCCCCGGCCCGTCTGCTCACGGCCATCCAGGGTGCCCGCCGGCCTGCAGGGGGCCTGGCTGTCCTCCTGGGCTGTGCTCTCTGTAGCTCTTTGGTACTGGTAGCCCTCCTGGGCACAGCTGGGGACCTCCACAAGATGACTGCATGCCAGCTAGACCCGCTGGCAGCTTGGCCTGAGTATGAGATTGTCAAGTTCAGCCTGGGCCTTGGGCTCGCGCTGGCCTTCAAGCTGGGGTGCCTCATTCTGTGCATGGTCCCAGCGGCCAGGCAGGCCACTCCAGCCCTCAGAGACTTGGCCCGGGCCTGCCCGGTGGTGCCGGCCCTGGCTCTGACCATGCTGGCCTGCAGGCTGCCGTACAATGCAGCGCTGCTGAGGCGGGCCAGCCTGAAGCTGCAGCAGGACATCGGCTCCCCGCGGCACGAACTGTTCATGAGCCTGGCAGAGCTGCTGCTAGGTGGGGAGAGCTGTGCCAGTTCCCTGGCCACCCTGGCTCTGCACCCACCCTGCAGACAGGCTCTCCTCTGCACAGTGGAGCGGCTCACTTGGAAATGCCGGGGACGAGGTGCTGAGCACAACGTCTCCCTGCGCAGGGTGGAGGCCAGCGGCCCACCTGCCGGACACAGCCACCGTGGCCCTCAACAGAGGCTCTCGTAGGTCCCAAGGCCAGAGCGAGCACCCCTGGTACTAATGAACCCCCATCCTGGAGTGGGGCTCCTGGTACTGACTCTGCCCCCCCAGTGAGCACTGCAGTGCCCGCTCCTGGTACTGACTCTGCCCCCATCCTGGAGCGGGCACTGTAGTGGGCCTCCTGGTACTGACTCTGCCCCCATCCTGGAGTGAGCACTGCAGTGGGGCTCCTGGTACTGACACCAGCCCCGAGCGAGCACTGCAGCGAGGCTCCTGGCACTGATGCCAGCCCCGAGCGGGCACTGCAGTGGGCTCCTGGCACTAATGCCAGCCCCGAGCGGGCACTGCAGTGGGGCTCCTGGCACTGATGACCCTGGCAAGGCATCCACTCCATGCTATAATACTATGGCAGAGCCAACCCTCCCTTCCGATGGGTTGCTGGATAAATCATTGAGGTGACCCTGGCAAGGAGCCTGCTAGTCCGAGAGCTGACAATTCTACCGTTTGGGGCTAAGGCACCTTTATCCAAAGGGGCATTTCAACTTAACACAAAGGCGGGCCTGCCAGAGCTGTATCCAACCGATGCACTCACAGTAACCCCCAGTGGCCACGGGCCCCATCTCCCACACCATGCAGTGGCCGTGAGCCCCATCCGTGTCATGACCCCACCCAGCAGCCGCAAGCCCATCCCCATCATGACACCAGCAGGAGGCCGTGGGCCCTGTCCCCGTCTCCCCATCACGACACCATCAGGAGGCCATGAGCCCCAACCCCGTCATGACACCAGCAGGAGGCCGTGGGCCCCGTCCCCATCTCCCAATCACGACACCAGCCGATGGCCACGAACCTCATCCCTGTCACACCAGCAGGTGGCCGTGAGTCCCGATCTCCCCATCACGACACCAGCAGGAGGCCGTGGGCCCCGTCCCCGTCATGACACCAGCAGGCGGCCATAGGCCCCATCCCCATCATGACACCAGCAGGAGGCCGTGGGCCCCGTCCCCATCTCCCCATCACGACACCAGCAGGAGGCCGTGGGCCCCGTCCCCATCACACCAGCAGGCGGCCATGGGCCCCATCCCTGTCATGACACCAGCAGGCGGCCATGGGCCCCATCCCTGTCATGACACCAGCAGGAAGCCATGAGCCCTGTCCCAGTAGCTGCTCCCTCTCACCCCGCCCTGCCTCTGTCCCCTGGAAGCAGCCAACTGTCCCCACCACATCTGGGTCAGCCTGGACCCCACTGTGCTGTCAGCCCTCCTCACCACTGCACGCCTGTGACTAGGGCGTAGTTTCCTCATGGCACTCCTTCAGGCAGGTATGCCCGTCTCAGGCTCCCTGTAACAATGTTACAATGGCTGCAGCCCCAGCCGCCTGTCTCAGGCCCACATGGGCAGATTAAAAGTCCCGGACAGGACCCGGCACAGTGGCCTAGTGGCTAAGGTCCTTGCCTTGCACATGCTGGGATCCCCTGTGGGTGCTGGTTCTAATCCCGGCAGCCCTGCTTTCCACCCAGCTCCCTGCTTGTGCCCTGGGAAAGCCTTGGGACGCTGCACCAGCGTGGGAGACCCAGAAGTTCTTGGCTCCCACAGTCAGTGTGGCCCAGGCCCGGCCACTGTGGCCATTAAGGGAGTGAACCAAAAGACAGAGCAGTTCTCTTTCTGTTTCTGTCTCAGCAAATCTTTCAAATAAATATAAATAAATCTTTTAAAAGCAACAAGCCCATCAGATCTGGGATCACCTCAGATGAAGTTTCTTTGGTTATCTTTCCAACTGAACTGCTGATCTTGGAACCCCAACCATCAAGAGACTGTCAGCTGGTGGACTCTGAATAGGTTTCATTGCGGTTGGGACGGTGAGATTGGCAGCAATCCAGAACTGATGAACTATCAAAACTGTTTGAGCAGGACCCTTGGAGAGCGCCTCATGTTGGGGATCGGGGATGGGTGGGAGGCTGGGTGGGGCTTTTCCCTTTGTTACTCCCCTAACCCCAGATACAGGGAAAAATGATTATATTAGTGTGGAAACAATGATATTACCGACTTTCACCCTGTAGCCCTTGACCCTTTGTACCCTAATAAATTAAGATTATTTAAAAAATAAATAACTAAAATAAAAAATGGAGGGGGGAAAAAAAGCAACAAGCCCAATCACAAAAAATAAAATGGCGATTCTCAAAAAAAATTTTTGTTTTAATTTGGTAATAGGATATTTTCTTTATCCAAAAGCTTTTAAAAGAGCCCCAAATGTGTCCTACCTAAACAGCCATGGGGCTGGGCACCTGACGCCCAGCTTCCTGGTGTCACGCACCCTGGGCAGCAGTGGTGGCTCCAGCGCTGGGCCCTTGACCCCGGTACAGGGGACCTGGACGAAGCCTGCCCCCGGCACGGGGGCCCTGGATGGAGCCTGCCCCGGCGTGGGGCCCTGGACTGAGCCTGCCCCGGCACAGGGGCCCTGGACGGAGCCTGCCCCGGCACAGGGGCCCTGGACGGAGCCTGCCCCGGCACAGGGGCCCTGGACTGAGCCTGCCCCGGCACAGGGGCCCTGGACTGAGCCTGCCCCGGCACAGGGGCCCTGGACGCAGCCCCAGCTCTGTCCCGCTTGCCCTGCTCCAGCTCCCGAGAGGTGTGGGCAAGTGCCCTACCTGTTGCTACATCTCTTCTCTCTGCTTTCCAAACAAGTAACTTCTGCGGGAAATGAAATGGGCTCTATTCTAACTGAAGTCAGTGGTAGGGAATGAGGCCCTGTAGAGGGGGGTGGGCGCTGCTCCCGGGCCCCATGCTGGTCGTGCCCGCAGCCTGCAGGGAGCCCACAGCAGGCCAGCTGTGTCTGAGAGTGGCAGCAAGGACAGAAGCCCTCCGGCAGAGAGACAAAAGAGAACCGCCTGTCGGGGTGGGGAGGGTTCCAAGGAACACAGCTCCGGGACCACTGGGGATAGGGCTGCGACAGAGCCCCAGGCCCCCGCCACCCAGTCCCGTGGCTCTGAGAGCTCCTGATGCCACAGAATGTCCCTCATGGAACCAAAGTGTCTATATTGATCCTGGCAGCTCTGGCGGGTCCCCGCTGTCCCCTGCTCGCGTGTGGCCAGGGCCCTGGTGTCACCACGAACTTCAGTCCCACACGGGGAGGTAAGGCTCGCTTCTGTGCGCGCCACCAGGGCCAGCACGTCCCCAGCATTGTCCAGCAGCATGGCATGGCTGGGGAGCACCGGGGAGCCCATGGGGAGCCCGGGAGGGCACAGGAGGCCATGAGGCACGGGCTGGCGACAGCAGGGACTGGCTATTTTTACATGTCATGCCTTGGCTATTTCAAGGCTTGAAATTTTATTTTATTTATTTAATTCAAGAGGAAGTTGTATTTTTCTTATGACTCATTTCTTCAAAATGCCGTCTGGGGCATTTTAAGGTGGAAATCATCCCGACTTTGGAGCTGGACAGAGTCTAGCAACGGGGATGGGCATCGGACCACACTGGGGCACCTGCGCTCAGGCACCAGCTCGTGCCTGGCTCTCTGGAGCGAGCTCCCCGCTCCAGCCAGAGCTGCTGCGGGCTTCTGGGCGGTGAGCTGCAGACGGAAGATCTCCATCTCTGTCCAGGAGAAACTCATTCCTCCCGCCTCGTCTGCACCACAGCAGGCTTTCAGACCATGATTCTCCACAGCCTGCCCAGCCAGCATCCCGCGAGGGTGACGCGGGGGCTGGGACGTGGGACGTGGGGCGAGGAATCAGCGGGGGTGGGGAGAACAGCGGGGGTGGAGCAGGCGCCACAGCACAGCTCCACGCGCTGGAGCTGGGCACGCAGGGCGCTGTGGTCCTCTGAGACCTGGGCAGAGTGCTGGGGGCTGGGGGTAAAATGCAAGCCACGAGCTGATGGGCCCTGGGAGGAGGCCAGGCACTCCCGGCCCAGGGAAGGGCCATGCAGAACCATTACCCTGATTCCTAACTTCTCACCAGAAGGCTCTGTGTGGCACTGCTGGGTCACCATGTCCCACAGAAACGACACCCATCCTGTGCCAACTTGGGCAAGAACTGCAGCAGTGAGCAGAGAAAAAGTCGGGGCTGGAGATGCCCTAAGCCTCCCCCCTGGACCCAGCTCGCAGCCACAGGCACAAAGAGCCGGCAAAAAAATGGTTAAAGCCCAGAAAGGAGGCGTCCCTGGTGAGCTGCTCGGCAGGGGGCTGGGAGGCTTCTAAAGCCAGCCCACACCCAGGGCAGGCGCCCAGACGCGCAGGGCAGGCGCTGGGAGCTGGTGGGGAGCAGCAGGCTCGCCCTCCTCCTCCTGGAGCCTCCCAGACCCCACGCAAGGGACCACATCACACACACACACACACACACACACACACACACACACACACACACACACACTCACACACACGACTCCAGTGTGGCAGGACCAAGTCCCGGGTCTGGACATGACACCTAGAATCTACCCAGAAGCCAGGGAACGCCAGTGACGCCCAGGTAAGCCCAGTCCCCATGCTGGGGTCTCACCAAGGCGGGGGGCCTGTCAGGGGGATGGCAGGACAGGGGTGTGCAGCATCAGGGCACCCTGGGGGAGGAAGCCCCTGGATGGGGCTGGTGCGCCCTCCATGAGCTCGCCCACTGTCCTGGGACCTGGCACCTGAGTATCCACTGCAGCCCAGACAGGTGGGGGACTGACACTCCTCCAGCCTTGGTTCAAACAGGACAAATAGGGCTGTGAGCCACAGGCCCTCAGGCACTGTCCTAACTCCCATCCAGCCGCCTTGGTAATGGCCGTGAGCCGCAGGACCCCGGGCGCTGTCCCCCACTCCCACCCAGGCCGCCTTGGCAATGGCCGTGAGCCGCAGGACCCCGGGCGCTGTCCCCACTCCCACCCAGGCCGCCCTGGCAATGGCCGTGAGCCGCAGGACCCCGGGCACTGTCCCAACTCCCACCCAGCCGCCTTGGGAACAGTATCAAGTGGTGAGCAGAGACCCCAGGGACATGAGGAGTCAGTAATGACCTTGTGCCCCCACCCTATTTATCCCACAAACTTAAGCAAGAGAAGGCGCAAGGGCTGAGGGTCTGCTTGCTTTTCAGCTGTCTCTAAACCAAGTCTGACATGTCCCAGAGTTCCCACATTTAAACAGCGAAGCCAGGAGCTGGTGCAGTTTCTAAAATGAAGTCCAGAGGCCGCCAGCGTCACAGCGGCTGCTCCTGACAGCCTGTCCCACAGAGGAGCCTGGTCGCCCGGAAGCCCTGCTCTGGCCTGGGACGCAGGGTGCAGGGCCCTGCGAGCTACCACTGCCACGGGACAGGGCGGGTCCTCTCCCGGCCCCTCCGGTTCAGGAATAGGCCAGCCTCCCCGAGGTCTCAGATCCCAGTGATGGAGCAGGTTGTCTGCTTCCACGTGGGGGTCCACATTTGGCACATTCCCCCTGCTCAGTGCCCGCACAGGACTGGAGGGCACCCCTGGCCCCCACCCCCGGCCAAGCACCCTGGCTGTGTCCAAGACCTTGGAGGAGCATTGCGAAGTGAGCAGGCGAGTGACAGGGCCCGGGCTCTACCGCACGCAGCACAGCAGGCTGGCTGTGACCGCACGCAGCACAGCAGGCCGGGTCCACTTCAGCCCTTACCCTTTCTCACTCTTCACTTCGGGCACCCCAGCACAGCACTGGTGCCAGCAAAATGCCAAACGCCTTCACCAAACGACTAAGAGGAGGCCCCCGCGCGGCACCCGCCCCTGGCCGGCGCGCTCCTCTCCTAAGCCGCGAGCCCACATCCCGGAGTGCTCTCTGAGCCTGTGACGGACTGAGTGAGGCCGACTTGCTCTCAGGCTCCAACCCAGCTGGGGACAATACATGTTTCCTGCTCTTTGCCCCACTTCAGCAGAGAGATAAGCACATACTCAGTCCCCACCCCCACCCCATCGCCATCCCACACAAACCTGGTGGGCCACACTTTCCTGGGGCAGGAGCTGGCTCAGCGGGCCCCGACTCAGGGCCTGGACTGAGCCCCAGTTCCCATCTCAGGCTGTGAAGGCAGTGGACAGTGACCCAGCCAATGGGAGCACTCGCTTGCCCCTTCCCATTGCAAACTGCCTCTCCCCTTGGCTGCTCACAGGTGCCCAAGCCGGGGAGGCTGTCCCAGCTGCAGCTCCGAACAGGCCCAGCCGGGCTCGATGTGACCGACGGCACACGGGGTGACCCCTGTGTACTCACGGAGACATGCCCGGCTTACGGCAGACTGAGCACCTGGCCCTCCTGAAGGTGGATGCCCTGCATGGGGGAGCCCTCCGTGGCCCTGTGGGCCTGGACTGAACACTCACAGTGTGGCGCTGTGGACGCCTGCGCAGCATGCAGCCCGCGGCCTCCAACGCCAGCTCCCCGGAGCTCGGCGGCACGGCCCTGGGGAACCACACGGGCGAGCTGGCTGAGCAGCAGTACGTCCTGGGCCTCTTCCTCTCGTGCCTGTATACCATCTTCCTCTTCCCCATCGGCTTCGTGGGCAACATCCTGATCCTGGTGGTGAACCTCAGCTTCCGCGACAGGATGACCATCCCCGACCTGTACTTCATCAACCTGGCGGCCGCCGACCTCATCCTGGTGGCCGACTCGCTCATCGAGGTCTTCAACCTGCACGAGCGTTACTACGACTTCGCGGCGCTGTGCACCTTCATGGCGCTGTTCCTGCAGGTCAACATGTACAGCAGCGTCTTCTTCCTCACCTGGATGAGCTTCGACCGCTACATCGCGCTGGCCAAGGCCATGCGCGCCGGCCTGCTCCGCACCAAGCAGCACGCCCGGCTGAGCTGCGGCCTCATCTGGATGGCCGCGGTCTCGGCCACCCTGGTGCCCTTCACGGCCGTGCAGCTGCGGCGCACGGGCGAGGCCTGCCTCTGCTTCGCGGACGTCAGGGAGGTGCAGTGGCTCGAGGTCACCCTGGGCTTCGTGGTCCCCTTCGCCATCATCGGGCTGTGCTACTCCCTCGTCGTGCGGGCGCTGGTCCGGGCCCAGCGGCACCACGGCCTGCGCCCTCGCAGGCACAAGGCCCTTCGCATGATCTTCGCCGTGGTGCTGGTCTTCTTCCTCTGCTGGCTGCCCGAGAACATTTTCATCAGCGTGCAGCTGCTGCAGCGGCCGCCGCCCGGGGCTGCGCCCTGCACGCAGTCCTTCCGCCACGCCTATCCCCTCACCGGCCACATCGTCAACCTCGCAGCCTTCTCCAACAGCTGCCTGAACCCCCTCATCTACAGCTTTCTTGGGGAGACCTTCAGGGACAAGCTCAGGCTGTATGTGGAGCAGAAGACCAACCTGCCAGCCCTAAACCGCTTCTGCCATGTGGCACTCAAGGCCATCGTGCCGGACAGCACCGAGCAGTCAGAAGTGCGGTTCAGCAGCGCCGTGTGAGGCCTTGCCCGGGGCCCCGGGGGATGGCGAGCGGCAGCCCCCCAGGCCCCACAGCCCAGGGACCATCCTCCCTTCAGGACACAAGGCTGGCGACAAGGGGTCAGTGGGTTCCTCTGCAGGGGCGGAAGGCGGAAGGCAGAGGCAGCTGTGGACCGGCAGGAGCACAGCGGGCGTCCCAGCCGAGCTGTGAAGCAACACAAGGTGGGCACTGTGGAGCAGCAGGCAAAACGCCCACCTGCGATGACCCCACGTCTGTGAGCTGTGCCCGGGGCACTCGGCTGGCACCTCGCAGCTGCCAGGAAAGCCCTCCGTTAGGCATGCACCAGGCGCCCACTCCAGAGCCTGTTTATGGCAGCCAGCAGGCGACTGCTGGGCCGCCTGAGTGGGGGCCGTCACAACTGCACACACGTGCAGCAGTGGGATGTGAGCGTCTCATTAAAACCTGTATAATTTGGCCAGAAACGGTGACTCAATAGGTAAATCCTCACCCTGCACACGCTGGGATCCCATACGGGTGCCAGTTCTAATCCCTACTGCCCTGCCTTCCATCCAGCTCCCTGCTGTGGGCTGGGAAAGCAGTCAAGGACGGCCCAAAGCCTTGGGACCCTGTACCCATGTGGGAGACCCTGGGGAGGCTCTTGGCTCCTGGCTCTGGCCGTTGCGTCCACTTGGGGAGTGAACCAGCGGATGCAGGATCTTTCCCTCTGTCTCTCCTGCTCTCATAAAGCTTCCTTTCCAATAGAATAAAATCAATCTTAACCAAAAGGTATTCAGCACGCGTGCCTGCTGCCTGGCAACAAAACAACCTGTGCTCACACTTCTAAACTCCCGGAGTTCCTCACGCGGGGCGGGGCGGACGAGAGGTGCCGCCCCCTCCATGAGAAAGCACCGACCCATGCTCACGGTGTCCCCGCCAGGGAGGGGTCTGACACACAGGAGGCAGGGTGACTGCTCAGGGCCCACACCTTGCCCTGAGACAGGTCCGTGCAGGTCCAACCTCCCCTCTTCCCGCCTGTCCGCTCCAGCAGCCAGGCCGCTTGCAGGGCTCCCACCACCTGCCCAGCTGCCAGGGAATGACGGGGCTCCAGGAAGTGGGGAGGTGGCATACACCGCAGTCTCTCCGCTCTTTCCTCTGCTGCAATGGCGGCCTGTCTACAGAGCAAGGATCTGGTGAGGGAGCATGCAGTGACCACAGACAGACCAGGTGGGACGGGGGCTCAAGGCCGATGCTGCCCTGTGGCCGGTACATGCTCTGCCCTCCCCCAGCAGCAGGTTCTCCACCGATGGTCACTGCTGGGCGAGCTCCTCGGAAAGAGGGTCTGGGCCCATTCTGTGTGGGCACCATAGTACCTCAAGTCATCGTTGTCCCCACACCTGGCCTCCTGCAGGCCGTCCCCACGCTCAGGTCCCATCCCTTCTCACCCACTCCCCACACCCAGCTCCTGCAGGCCACCCCACGCAGAGGCCCCACCCCTTCTCGCCCACTCCCCACACCCAGCTCCTGCAGGCCGTCCCCACGCTCAGGTCCCATCCCTTCTCACCCACTCCCCACACCCAGCTCCTGCAGGCCACCCCACGCAGAGGCCCCACCCCTTCTCGCCCACTCCCCACACCCAGCTCCTGCAGGCCACCCCACGCAGAGGCCCCGCCCCTTCTCGCCCACTCCCCACACCCAGCTCCTGCAGGCCATCCCCACGCATAGGCCCCGCCCCTTCTCGCCCACTCCCCACACCCAGCTCCTGCAGGCCACCCCACGCAGAGGCCCCACCCCTTCTCGCCCACTCCCCACACCCAGCTCCTGCAGGCCACCCCACGCAAGGCCCTGCCCCTTCTCACCCACTCCCCACACCCAGCTCCTGCAGGCCACCCCACACACAGGCCCCACCCTGCCCCTTCCAGTGCATACTGTGTGTGGAGTCTGTGGCAAGATGGCTCTGCCCTGGAGATGTGGGGTTGGACTGTGTCCACCCAGAGCCCCAAAACATGCCCCAGCACAGGGACCTCTTCTCCAAGTAGCTCCCCACATCTGTCTGGGACCCCTGGGTTCCTTCTCGGGGCCTGTCATGTGCAGGCCTCCAAGGTGGTGGGACAGGATCTGAGTCAGTGCCTCACCCTCCAAGTCGAAAGCACCACTCCTGCCTCCTTGGCCCCTGCGCCCAGGCTCAGGCCAAATGGGGGCAGGGTAGGGGACATAGCTCCCACCATTGCCCACCGGTGCGCCATCCTGACCTGGGGACAGCAGAGACACCAACCAGGGTCAAGGGCGTGGGCAGGATGGAGAGGCCACAGCGCGTGTGTGGAAGCCACACCGAGGAGCACCCAGCAGGCCCACACGCATCCACCCTCCTCAGGCCATCGGCCTGGGAGCCAGGGCTAATCTCATTCTTTGTAGCAGGAACACTGTTAGATAAAATCAAGGCATTTTAATAGCTGCTGCTTCCTGCAGTCCAAGCTCTCCTGCACACCACTGCTGTGTGAGCCCCAGGGACGTGCAATCACCCTGGTGTGAACACTGCACACGCTCCTGTCACCATGAGCACATGCTCCTGTCACTGTGAGAGCACAGGCTCCTGTCACCATGAGCACATGCTCCTGTCACTGTGAGCACAGGCACCTGTCACTGTCAGCACACGCTCCTGTCACCGTGAGCACACGCTCCTGTCACCGTGAGCACACAGGCTCCTGTCACCGTGAGAGCACACGCTCCTGTCACCCTGAGCACACAGGCTCCTGTCACCCTGAGCACACAGGCTCCTGTCACCCTGAGCACACGCTCCTCTCACCCCACAGACCCAGCCTCAGCCGCTTGCAAGACAGGAATGGCTAGCAAACCTGCTGTGTAGTTGGCCTCTTGCAGTGCACGGTGAGCATGGGGACAGGGCAGAGCCCCACGGGAGGTGATGGCAGGCACTGGCTGAGACCACAACTTTTAAGGAACACAGAATGGACACGTGCATGGCTGAAGCATTTGTGCATGTGTGAAGTGTATGTGTTGTGTGCGTGCATGCATGCTGCACTGTGAACACGCTAAGTACACACATGTGTGTCACCGCACAGTCCCTGGCCCCGTCTGCTGTGCAGCAGCCTAGAATCAACAGGATGAAACATGAAGCTCAGGTGGCTGCAGCCCCCGTGCCCAGGCTGCCCCGACGGTCGTCTCGAGGAGGGGCCAGCCGGGCCAAGAGCTGAGGCTCTGCCAGGCGATGAGGAAAGCCAGAACCACAGTTGCGTGAGGGACACCGGGCTGGACTCCGGCCAGGAGGCCAACACTGTGAGAAGCCGAGGAAGGAGCGGTGCAGTGTGTGCCCTGCCAGGGTTCAGGCTGCTCCCTGGGATATGTGTGTCCATGCTGCAGTGCCGGTTCGAGTGCCCACCTGGAGGGAACAGGACTGGGGCGGAGACCCTGATGGAGGACAGGGCTTATGGCTTTGGCCAACCCTGGACATTGCGGGCATTTGGGGAGCGAGCCAGAGGATGGAAGATCTTGCTCTCTGGTTCGCAAATAGAAAAAAAAAAAATTTAAAGAATCCATGAGTCCATTCCAACAATAAACAGATATAAACAAACATAATTTAATCAAAACTAGCAGCAAAATAGTAAGCAGAGGGAACTGGGGGAATGAGGGAGAACAGGCCAGACGAGAGCAGCCAGGTGGGATCCGAGGAACCCAGGGCCTGTGAGGCGAGCCCAGTGCCTGGGCTCCAAGAAGGGTCCATGTCTCTCACAAAGAGTGTCAGGCCTCACTGGGAGCATGCATCTGAGAAACCCAGAGCAGGGCCGAGGCCAGGACACAGCAAGGCGTCCGTGCCAAAGCACGGGCCACGAAGTTCAGGGAGAGAGAAGTGACCTGTCATCAAAGCCAACACAGCCGTGAGATAGGGTCCATGATGGCAGGGCTGGGGGCCAGGACTGAGGGTCAGGATGTGGGGTCCATGAGGGCAGGGCTGGGGGCCAGGACTGAGGGTCAGGATGTGGGGTCCATGAGGGCAGGGCTGGGGGCCAGGACGTGGGGTCCATGAGGACAGGACTGGGGGCCAGGATGTGGGGTCCATGAGGGCAGGGCTGGGGGCCAGGACATGGCCCCGGGGTAGGGTGCATGAGGGCAGGGCTGGGGGCCAGGATGTGGCCCCGAGGTGGGGTGCATGAGGGCAGGGCTGGCGGCCAGGACACGGGTCCATGAGGGCAGGGCTGGGGGCCAGGATGTGGCCCCAAGGTGGGGTCCATGAGGGCAGGACTGGGGGCCAGGACATGGGGTCCATGAGGGCCTGGGGCCAGGATGCGGGGTCCATGAGGGCCTGGGGCCAGGATGTGGCTCCAGGTGGGGTCCAGGAGCACAGCGGGCAGCTCCCCATGTCCACAGTGCTGACTGAGAACAGAGTGGTCAGGGGCAGGACTCTCTACCTACCAGGTGGTCCGTGATGGGACACGTATGAGTGCCAAGGCGGAATGATGAGAAAGCACCAGCAGACCTGTGGGGGCAGCTGCAGTAGCACAGCAAGCCCTCACACCCGGATGCTCAGCACATCACCCACACACAGCAAGAGATGCCACACCAACTGCCCAAGGCCACACTACAGGTGCAGCGGCCATGGGTGCCAGTTAGGCTCAGCCACTCTGTGCCCAGCCCCACCCCAGGCTGGCACTCACAGTGCCCTGGAGACCTCAGGGGACTCTCGGACTCCTGGCTGTGGTCTGCTCTAACCCTGTGTCTGTTTTCAAATAAAATAAAATAAAACAAACAAACAAACAAACAGAAAAACCCATAGAAGCACTGATCCACATGACACAAACAAGCTGTGAAGGAGGGCGCTGGGTGAGGCTCCCATTCTCCAGCATGTACCACCCACCACCGCGAGCAGGAGGGCACTGGGTGGAGGCTCCGCTCCCATTCTCCAGCATGTACCACCCACCACCGCGAGCAGGAGGGCACTGGGTGAGGCTCCCATTCTCCAGCATGTACCACCCACCACCGCGAGCAGGAGGGCACTGAGTGAGGCTCCC